TACCAATGCACTACTTAACCTGTCATGTTGAAGTAGTCAATACAGTAGTAAGTCAAGATAAAATTCATTCTGACGACTTAAATTAAAGTAAATTATGGGAATATAAGAATATAACACACAGATAAATGAGTACAGCAAAGAGAAGTTAGAGTTGTGCTGTGTCAGGTGGATAGAAGAGGAGTCGAATTAAGGAGCTGGATTTATGTACGTTGAAATCGAAAGAGTAGAGTTTGTAAAAAGAAAAATTTGATGAATAAAATTTCGCATTGTCTAACTGTTTTATTATTATTATTGAATGCCAACCTCTAAGTCATACTGTAAGCGCCTGAGTAAGAATGTTGCGGGTGTCTAGACAGAATGGCGACCTCATCATAGTTTTGGAAACATGAACCATAGACGTAGCAAGCGTAAAAGAGCAACCTCAGTGTTACTGATTAATTGTCTCATCAATCTGAAGAGCCAAAAGCAAACAAAATATTCTGCCCCACAAACATGGGTGGTTTGAAGTTATCGCCCGCACCATCAATGTTTGCTTGTCAGTAACTCCACCCTCCCTCCTTTTGTGTTGTTAGGCTCATGTTAAATGTTTGAAAGAAACTATTGAGTTCTACTTGGTGCTCTATGTCTCACATACTGTTGAGAAACACTATTTCTGCAAGTTCCTTTCACAAACTTGTCTGGATGTTACAACTTATGAACTATTGGTTAGGCATCAATGCTATACAGTTAACAGTTATGGAGAAATAGTAAGAAATTTCAAACAAGATATAAGCATTCAGAATGTGTTGTGGAAGATGTACTTAACTAGCTAAGCAGGAGATATAAAGAGTTTGAATGTTCGATCGTAAGGTTAGTTTTCATTTCATCTTTTTCCATTCTGTTAATATATCTGATATCTTTTATTATCTCAAATTTTTATCTTGTTATTTCGTCGGCTTTGTAAACGCAGTATTTTATATATGTTTCTTATACAGTTTACCATAGTTTTATTCTTGAATACTTTGTTTTATCCAAACACACAATTTACAGAATCCCACATCAGCTATTTGTTAGAATACTTTACGTTCTGCTGCACCTTATTTTCGTTTTTCGTTTTCAGCACCTCATCATAAGTCATAAATATCAGCCTGGATAAATGAGGAAGATTAATTTATGTTACCTATAAGCCTGTTAATCTATTTTCGTACGTATCTCAAGTTGATGACCTTTGCAAGTTTCCCTTATCGATCCTTGTTTTATTCGCACCTCAATTTTCCTTTCATTGGGTCTCAACAGGCAGTGGTTGGTCGCAGTGCGACCTTCGTAACTCGCGGCTACTGTCTTGTTTATCGTTAAATGGTTTTAAACATTATATATCATTTCATGCGAAAAATTTTGTTCATGTATTCGTAGTCAGTATGTCATGTGGAATATTTACGTAGCTGCACAAACTTTTACATATCATATCTTAGCAATGTTAGCATTTTAATCTCATCTGTAAATCACCATGACCCTCGTAACAATTTGTTGTTTGAGAATAAATTATCAGTGTTTTTCTCAAAAGCCTATGAAACCGGTTTTATCCTCTTGATTACAACGTGTTTTTTTTGTACAGCCTCACAAGTTCGTTCCTGTTTCAGTTCTTTCATTTTTGGTAGGCCTTGATTTTTATTCATCCTAAATAATTTTTTACGTCGCTCATAAACAACAGTATATTCGCTGTCCATCTTAACAAAGAACGAATGGACGTGGAATCATTTGATGATAACGGTTTACTTTATTCCGTCCAGCTGCAATTCTACTATTGAAAAATATCTGGAACTCCAAACAAATTTCAATCAACATAATCATAACTTTCAACACAAATGTCAAGACAGTTCTACTGTATGGAGCGAAAACTTGGAGAACTACTAAAGCCACCATTCGGAAGATACAAGTATTTATGAACAATTGTCTTCGCAATCTACTTCGGATTCTATCAGCATCAACATACTGTGGGAGAGAACAAATGAGCCGATTAGCGTTGGAAATAGAAAACTATGTTTATCGATCGCAAAACACATAATTGAGCCAGGGCATAAGATTGACATCAAGGCAGCCTTCAAAACATTGCATAGAAATGTTGAAGGACGAATTTTGAGGTTTGTGGAGGCTTTGGATATTAGAAAATTAAAACCCCCTTTACGTGTGCTGAAACAATGTGACATAACCTTGAATTTACCTTGGTAATCTTTAAGCCTAGGGTAATGTGGCAATTTTCCTACCCCTTCTTATTTTTTTCATATTACGTTAATTTTATCTCTCCTTTATTTACAATCATTACCCATTTGTCTATTTGAACTTTTATTTAATTGACCTTTTATTCATCTTCATATAAAATGCCTTGACGAGTAAATGTGTGTGACCAGATTGTTCGTAATGTATAGTGCAAATACATCACATTTTTCAGATCAATTAGGTGTTCTCAATGTTCTATCAAAATATATAAAAGGGACTAATTGTTTTAAATTTCTGAAAAGAAGACTCCCTCCATCTTGTATTAAACAGTTAGATGAACTTGCTACTGTTAAATGCGAAATCGCTTCTGAAAAAATAAAGCAGGACTTTCACAAATCGTGCCTTACTACACATATATTTCTCAGACAATTTTATAAATTCTTAAGATCATACAAATTAATTCGGAATATTTCTAATCTCCTTCGTCTCACGAAATCTCACGTGGAAAAATGTGATGAAATGATATGTAAACTAACTGAACTTCATACACGTGCATCATGTGTATTATCAAATGTTTCTATCGTATGTCATATTAAATTTATGAACTTTTGCAGTTCGAAGGTCTCTTAAACGAAATATACTACGAGGAAAAAGTTGGAAAAGTCCATCATTATTGATAATCTCGGAAATCGCTTGCAGTTTAGCCCGGATAAGTATGTAACAAATTTATCATCCGTTGAACTTTATGTAGATGAAAAAGAAGCTATATCTCTCGGATTTAACTTTTCCATACCTCATGCTGAAACTTCTAACTTCTCGATTGACGCTCAGTTTGAACATCTCTTTACTCAACAGTTTACCATTCTCATCTTCTACTCTCGGAAATATTACGTCCTTTAAAAAGGACCAGGATGCCTTTTGACGCACCGTTGGCACAGTCATGTGAACAGCCGGTAGTTTTTTGACTGTCAACACTTTCTGGATCTTAAAGGATGATGAGAAGTCTACCGAGTGCGACTCTACATCTACCTCTCTAGATACTAATGACGATTCGTTACTAATGGTCTTCTCAGTTCTCAGTTTTCCTTCGAGGCCTAACTTATCAGCTAGATCTTTAACTATGAGAGAGGTGTCTGATCCGCTATCTAGAAAGGCGCAAGTCTGAATAATTCTCTCACCATTTTTAATCCATACGGGAACTACTGCAAATGCCACTGGCCTCTGTATGCACTTAACGCCTTCCTCTGTACAAATCTGAGTATTAATTTAAGCATCACAGATAGCATCTCTCCGTTCTTACCGCTTCTCATGTAACAGAGTTTGGTGTCTCCAGCCACATCCTTCAACAGCACATGACCTCGGCCATCGACAGTTTTTTGCTACATGGTTCGCTTTCAGACAAACATTACATAACTTATGCTTAAAGACGAATTCTTTCCTTTCTTTAACATCATTGTCTTTAACCTTCTGGCATTGATCTAAGGGATGATTCCTTGAGCAATCTGGACAAGGTGGACTATGTAAGGAGGTATTGCCATCATTAATGCTTGCATCTGCTACCGTTGCTATGTTGTAACTTGCGACAGCTTTCCCTTTCAAAACACCGAAATCTCTTTTGTCGACATTACCGCTGCGGTTGATAAGTAGGCCGTATCTACTGTTAGATATATCTGACTGTTCTTTTACAAATTCACAGAGGTCGTTGAATAAAGGCTCCCTACCCGTCTTGAAAATTGGACACGCTACTTTAACCCATTCCCTCTGTAGGTATGGTGGAAGTTTTAAAAACATGCGTTCGATGGTTTTCGTAGAATCAAGATCGGATAGGTAGTTCATTTGTGTGAGCGTAAGCTCACAGATATACATCTCACGAGCCAGCCTTCTTAAACTGTTTGGGTCAGTCCCCTTAATAGCAGGGATGTTCATGGGCAACTACGTGTTTCTGACCGAATGCTTCCTCAAGAAGCTCTAACGCTTTACTATAACCTTCTTCCGGTTCAAGCAATGTACAATGAACAATGGTAGCCTTGGCTTCACTGTCACAATATTGAATCAAATAGTTTAACTTAGATCGAGGCCGCACGCTTTCATCAAAACAGTCTTCGAAATTTCGTATGAAACCCCACTTATTCATGGGATTACCGTCAAACTATATGGTTTCTCGATTGAGTAGGTCTAAAGCTTTAGATATCATTCTTATCCAGTCCCTTCCGGCGTTAAGATCAGCTCTACGTGAGGCGGATGTAGATTCGTATGACATTACCTTTTCATCCTGAACTTGGTTACAATATTCTCTTCCTCTTTGACGGAACCGTTCTAACTCAATTACTCTTTCTGTCTGAGCCAGACGTACTTCAGCTAATTCTAACTCTAACAAGTGTTACGGGAGAAATGAAGACATTTGGCTGATTAAAACCTTTATATAAATATCATTTATTTCACTGTGTTTTTCGGGTATATTTGTTTTACTTAACTTATGAACTTGTTTGAATTATTATTTTCGGCCATTTTTGGACTCCTGATTGTCTTGGTTTGTTCGTTTGCATTTTTTTGCTCCAGGAACCTATAAAATTGAAGGTAATTGTAATTATTATAATTATTGTCGTTAGAATGACATTGATCGTCTATTTGTAATTGACGAACGACATTTTGGTCGATTATTTGTGAATTAAGAATAAACTTTGGTACCTACATTGGAGTTTCGTTTTGTTATCAATTGGGTTCGTGAATTGCAAATAGATCGACACACCGTACTTCAAGGGAGGAAGAAGCAAAAATTGGACGTAACAACAAAGGATCCATTCGGAAGCTATTTCTTCCAAACTGGTCTTCACTATGAGTTTCCCAGTAGTGAGGAGACAATTCAGGAATTTGATCAGTTCTATGATTCTCCGTAGACCTTTGAAGGTACTCAGTATATGAACTTCTGATCAGTTACTGGTCGAAACTTTGTTGGATTTAATTTGTCCTACAGATGTAGTTCTAGAACAGTAAACGCAATACTGGCGAGCGCAGAGTCTGTGGTAAAGCTATAGTAAAAGAAAGTCAACTCGGTTTTAAAATTTTTATGTTTCTAAATAAAAAATCGATTAAATTAGTACAATAAAAAAGGAAATTACGATTATCAAGTAAGACAAGCAAACGTACCGACCAGTATAGCGTGTCTTTAGAAAATGAATAAAAACATGAGTCACGTCAAGATAATAAAATAATAACGTCCTTCAATCAATAGGTCATTTACAGCAATGAAGGTTTACAGACCGGTCAGACTAGGTAACGTGGTGAGCGCTTAAACCAACGTGATTGGTTAGTTATGGCATAACTACAATTAGTTATAAACTAACTAACATCAACTGAACCCTCTTGTCCCAACAAATCAAAATAATCAAAACTCGTTGAAGGCGAAATTGTTTGATATCGCTCACCAATTTCACGGTGCCAAAATAAGACACAGGATTATTTTATCACCTAAACATTTCTGTGCCTTAAGGGACCTCTGTAAAAGATCAGATATAGTAATTCTCAAACCTGGTAAAGGATCTGGAGTAGTGGTAATGAATAAATGTGATTACATGAAGAAATTTTTATCCATCCTTAGTGATGAAAGAAAGTTTTTGACTAATGTTTCATCTAATAATGAGGTTAGAAAATTAGAATCGAGAGCTAACTTCAATCTAATGAAGCTACTACACATGAATGTTATCAATAAAGATGAATTTAATGTGTTAAAACCCACCGGTTCTGTACTACCGAACTTATATAGATTACCCAAAATTCATAAACCAAACAAACCACTGAGACCAATATTATCTATGTGTGGCTCACCTGCACATAAACTAGCCAGATGGTTAACTAAATTACTTATCCCAGTTCGTAATAAATTGTGTACGTTTTCCCTGAAAGATACATTTGAACTAATTGGTGTTCTTGATGACATCAATATTAAGAAAAGACTATGCATTCTTTTGTTGTAAGCTCCCTTTTTACCAATGTTCCCCTAATGAAAACTGTTAACTTTCTTTGTGACTATATATTAAGTAATTTCCACCTGTTTCCCATTCAGTCAAGTCTCCTAAGAGAATTAATTTTATCATATACTGAGAAAGTTCATTTCATTGGATTGATGGCTCTCCTGAGCACCGCCTGAGTTTTTGATTCGACTCTCCCTTGATACTACAATTTGAACTGTAAAGGCTCTAAGATGGCTGTTCGAATTATTTTCATTTTTATATTCTTTTCTAACCTCTTGATTATTACTCGACATATCTTTGGTATCTGGAATTTCGCATCACTATAGCTTGCGATCTCAACTACTCTCCTGTCGACTCACTTGTCTAACGATTATGCCTGTGAATATACAACCTAAGTCAATAATTTGTTCGACAGAAAAATTCGTTTAGGTGAACTGTCCTTTTTTATCATAAATTTAGCATCACATTTTTATAACTGTGTTACTAGAGTGGTTCATGGGTCATAACTTGAAATCGGACTGTTATTTAGCTAAAAAATCTTTCCACCTCATCAACTTATATGGTTCAGTTTGTTTCGATTAGTGATCAAGATTCATGACAGACGAAGAGGAGAGCCTGGCACAAGTGGAAGGTCTCCTTGAAGGATTGGCATTGAGAAACAGATTCAATAGCAAAGTTAGAAGCGACAGGAGAAAATTCCAGACGAAGCTAGCCGCCAAAAGAGAGGCAAACCCGAAAAATCTGTTTAGGATCATGTCGAAAAGAAAGCCTACTAATCAAAGGGTTGTGTTCTCTGAAAGGACCAAACGGGGAAGACCTCACCAACCTACAGATGGCCGATATCTTCAACACCACTATTACTGATCAATCAAACCAGGCGCCTACATGTTCAGAGTATTACGCCAACGCAATGCCAGCTGACGGCCCTATAGTCTTGCAACAGTGTGCTGAAGTCCTCTGTTTACCGTTATGCGACCTGTTCAGGCATTCACTGGAGTCACACTAATTCCCAGCTAGATGGAAACAAGCTACTCTCTCCAATCTTCAAAGGAGGAGATAGAAATGACCCAGCCTGGTACAGACCAGTCGCACTACTACCAATATTATCAAAAGTTATGGAAGGGCTAGTGGACGAACAAATGAGGGAGCACATGGAAAAGAGTTAAATACTCCATGATGCTCATCACGGCTTCGGAAAGGCAGGTCGTGTGCATCAAATCTTCTCATCGCATGGGACAGTTGGACATCCTGTTTAGACCGTAAAATACCGGTACACGTAATATTCCTCGACTTTTCAAAGGCCTTTGACATAGTGCCCCACGCACGCCTAATCGAAAAGGTTGTGGAAATGGGCTTCACTGACCCACTCCTATCTTGGCTCAGAAACTACCTTGAGAATAGAAAGTTTCGCACCAAGGTAAACAGAGTGCACGCGAGTTGGCGAGTATCCACATCGGGAGTTTCACAGGGGACCATTCTAGGCCCACTTATCTTCCTGATATTTATTAACGACCTGCTAGGCCCAGTTAGCTCACCGGCATTGATCTACGCAGACAATGCGAAGATCTGGAGGTCCATTAGAAGCGAAGAGGATTCGACTGAGCTTCGGAAGGACCTTACATCTATTGAGAAATGGGCAGTGAAAAACGGTTTAAAACTCAACCAACCGAAGTGCCACGTCATGCATTTCCTGCCTCATATGACGCAAACGACCTATACCCTCAATGGAAGTCCGCTCCTTAATGTCTCCTCAGAGCGCGCCAAACCATCCCAATGTGAGCATCTTACCGATGCATCACCACCACTACCCTCGAGGCAATCCTCGAAAGATTGCACATCAAAGAGCGAATACTCAGATTCGTGCACACGTTTTCTCATTGTGAGTCGTCGCAACTTGGAATGCTCTCCCAACCGAGGTGACCACAGCCTCCTCAGTAGATAGCTTTAAGAAGAGACTTGATAATCACGTACTCGCATACGGACTATCATCTACCTCTTGGACAAGCTGTTCATGATGCATATCTTGAGACCTGCTTGTTGTTACCATTGCCATCTCCTCAGATCACTCAATTAATCTATCTCGCCTATTATCTCTGTTTCCTCTCCCTCTATCACAATCTTCACTACCAATTAACAAACTAAATTCATCTATATATTACTCAGTTCTGAAATTTTATTAATATGATCATTAGAATTTTATCCTCATTACCCTTATTACACTCCGCATTGCAACTAACTGATTTTCGGTATGGTAATGTGACGACTGCTAGTATCCAGAAACCCTACTGCCCTGAAACAAACGTTTCATTCAAATCCCGAGACATACAAACTCACAACTAACTGCCAACTGACTAGAATTAGACAGTCGAGTGACTAGACCCCCATCAATTGGACACTAACTAACACCTGGAACCGTACCGAAAGAACAAGAATCGAGTGCGAAGAAATCAAGTTGGTTTACACTAGCTCGTGAAAAAACTATTGCACATTGAATATTGGACCTAATTACTAGCTTGGCGCTACGTAGGGAGATGTCGAAAATCCCATTCAAGAATGATGGTAGTTTTATGGAACTATTCAAGCAGATGCAAGGTACTGGCCAAATAATTATGTCTAATTCTTCTAGCCGAACAAGAAAGAGTATCTATCGAGAAACCTGTTCTTACGAATGTAGCTCCAATTTTATTGTCCATATTTCTATTTAGGTAGTGAAGGTGGAAAGTACTGATGAGTCTGAAAGGTAGCTTATAGAACATTAGTTAACTTTTTGTTTTAGCCAACAATGCAAAGTGGAGAATGAAACAGGTAGTTGCTTTGTGTGAAAATTTTATCTCTCGATTCTATGAATGCGATTCTAAGTGCCATATTTCCAGTTATTCCCGATGATTCAAAGGTTCTGGTGGCAATCGAGTCGTTGGTCCTACGCGTTTCCAGCATGTCTCACAGTCTATGTGAAGCAGAAATCAAAAAGTTCGAAGATAGCATTCAGTATTGGTACGTATATTCTCGTTACTCTACTCTGTTTTTCCAGGTTTCTAACACTTCCAGAGACAAATGAGTACAAATTCTTCAGAAAAAGATTGGCTGATGTTCGTAAGCAGAAAATGCTCAGCAATTCAGTCAGTAAGTTTGTTTGCTCTATCTCCATTTATCTTTCAAAACAGCCGTTGATTCTTATACAGTACATGCGCTGAAATCAAATCCACAAAAAACATAGAAAGACCTTGATTAAAAATGCCTGGTCTACATGAGACGTATCCAAAGCTTTGTAACTTTGTAGTTAATCGATGAATATACCTTTCGATGTACAAGTTTTTCGCTTACATGGCTTAAAGCTGCTCTGTGCGGAAGCCAATACTAACTGCTAACACAATGAGGTTTATCCATTATTTTCACAGATTTATTCATTGCTTTGTAGCGATACTGAAGTAAATCCTATGTCATCCAATGTTTGTCTTAAAAATAATCTACACGTTATTACACTACATTAGCACACATGCAATGGTCGATTCGAATCCCATAGTAGTAGATGTAGTAGAAGTATCAGTGGTAATGGAGATTAGGGTCCGAAGATATCATTCAAGAAGTATAACCCAGTGAAATAAACTTGAAAAGAGAAAGATAGAGGTCATGAGGAATTCGGAAGATCAGAACTAGAGACTACAAAGAATGGATGTGTCTGCGCCATCGCAAACAATTTTGCGTCATGTCATTAGAGGTTTCTAACCATTGTTACTTCTGTCTCGCGGACCCCAACCAGGTAGCCTACAGCTATTAACGTAGCTCAGTCCGGTTGTGAGTGACAATACGAGGGTGTCAGGTTTTGATCTGGACGCCCCAAGCTTTCTCCCAGCATACTCCAACATCATGAAAGATCGCTCGTCGAAGTAGTCGGTGGATGAACATACGTAACACACGTCCTAACCACCTTAACTGATGGGTATCCACTACTTCATAAATTGACCTACAACCGTTACCTAGTGCCTTTATCCTAACAGTAGTGTTGCTTACTCGGTTGTCCCAGGATACATGAGCAATGCTTCGAATACACCTGTGATCGAATACCGGTAACATATGAAGCTACTCTCACCGGCTAGCAAACCCATATCCTGCCTACGCTATAAGTGACGAAAGTTGGCGAAAGCCAATGGAGCCTTCTTTATCCGTGCTGAGATTTCGTCAGTCACCAGGCCATCAGCATTGATGAGACTCCCGAGATAAGTGAAGCGGTCCGCACACTCGACTTCTTCATTCCCTGTCACTAGTTCAGGTGCCGAAGCAACCCAATCTTGAAAAAACATTTTGCATTTCGAGTGTGAGAACCGCATCCCAAACATGCATGCATTGTTGCTTAGGGTAGTTAGAAGACTGCATTTTATCAGAGTCTTCACCAAGTAGAACTATGTCATCGGCATATTCTAAGTCAATAAGCGAGCCACCAGGTAAAAGGTCTACTCCTGAAAATTCAGACGAGGATAAGGTTATATCTAGCAGCATGTCTATTACAAAATTAAAGAAGAATGGCGAAAGTGGACAACTCTGACTAACACCACTTGAAGTAATCCATTCTGATGACGGTTCGCCATAAGCTCTGACTCGACCAGTGGTCGTCGAGTAGAGAGCTTGTATAAGGTTAATGTACTTCTTTGGTACACCTTTCAATGACAGACACTGCCACAGAACCTCACGATCGACAGTCGAATGCCGCCTTTAGGTCCAGGAAGACAACTACTGTAGGACGCCTAAATGTGTGTCTGTGTTCCAGAACCTGTCGTAGAGTGAAAATGTGGTCTATACAGCTACGTCCGGGTCTGAAACCAGCTTGGTTTTCTCGAGTCTGCTCTTCACGAGCTCTATTCAGGCGTCTAAGGATTATCGAGGCTAGCAATTTAGAAACTATATTCGTTGAACTGATTCTTCTGTGATTGTCACAAGAGGACTCTGTCCTTTCTTATAGACCGGGACAATAAAGTGACTGAGACTAGTTGGATGGGATGACGTACAGTTTCCAGATTACACCTAAGATCTCAGTAAATCTAACTGTTAAAACTGGACCACGATCATTAAAAACATCAGCGATAGGCCTGTCAGTTCCTGCTGCTCTCCTTTACACCTGAGATTGTCTATATCTTTGTCAACCTCATAAATGTTTGGAGGATTTTCAACAACTTGCCAATCAGTTTTACTGGAGATCGTGCATAACTCAAGTATGTGTAAAGTCCAGTTGAACTGATCCTTAAAGTGTTCTACACATCTATCCGATCTCCTGGATTGAGAGTGAATAATGGTCCCATCCCTTTCCGAGATAGTCTCGCAAACAGTCGGTTTTCTAACACTTGATTCATTTATATGTCTCAATAGTTGTATGTTGCCTGTCGCCACTGCTTCTTCCATCTCTCTTGCTTTCGCCACCCACCACTTCGCGATCGTTCAGTACGCTTCTTATCAGACTGCGCTTAAGATGGCTCCGCTCCTCAGCCGGACGGGATCCTGCGTTGTTTATAAAAAGTTCTGAAAATAAATACGTTTTGTCTTTGTTACTGCTGTCATCAAATTCATTTTCTAATTTTAGCTAGGTGATGGGTTTTCACTGACTTTCGGATTGGTTTGGATGTAATGTGTTTTATAGCATTTGATTCAAATACATAGTATTAATTTATTGAAAACTTCATCTTTAATAATACATTTTTATTTTAGAACCAGAAACTCCGGATATGTGCAAGTCAGAAAACGAAGAATTTATCCCAACCAAAAGACGTCGCTCCAGATGGGACGACAAGGCTGATGAACCTAAAATAAGTAGCTCAGTAAAAGAATTTCCTGATGGGTCTTTGGCTTCTGCGATCGCTCTAGCGAAGGCTGCTGCAGCTGCTGCAAAAACTCAAGGTAATTTTTTAAACCTATATTTACTTGGTTTTGTTTTCAGCTACCAAAACATCGATTGCTTTTATTTTACCTACGATTGTTTTTTGATTCAAATTAATGACATGTCTAAACACTGAAGTTTTTTAAACTTACTGTCCTCATGAAACTACCAGTACTTAGTCATATTTATATTTTAATATTGCTATTGGCGCATGGGGCATCTAAATATTCATGAACCTCAAATACCAATGAATTTATGTGTCGGCTGAGATACTGCTTGGCTGTCAAAACCGAAGCAGGTGGTTTTTTAGCGGGTTACTCCCTGAGTTTTTGGCCTACAAGTCTAATCCACATGTCAGTGGAGCGACGTAAGGAGATGCAGTCCTATGGTAGCTGGTGAGCAACAGTAGAATCGTTGACCATCCGTTCCATCAAAATGCTGCATCCCATGTGCACCATTAGTTTGGAACGAGGGTTTTTGCTTCTTCTGGGTGGATCTCCTGTACTCACTAACACGGTTGAAGCACCCGACATTCGCTTTTCGTGCTCTGAACTTCATAAACAACCCCTCGCCAGAAATAGACCCGACCGTAGCTGCTACCTTGACGTGTTGGTCGGGCTTGTCTGCCGTGATGACCCAACCTAGCTATATTGGCTGGAACATATGTTCCTGTAGGTTCTACCATGCCAGGCAGGTCGGTTAGAGAACAATGAGACTAAAAGCAGTGTCTGCAGCGATGCTGCCTTTTCAGAAGGAAGGAAAAGGTCGACCCTAAAATATGGCACCTCACCCTACCTCACGGATTTCCGTCTCCGTCTGTTGTAACGCTTGCTTAAATGATTCCCAGCTAATTCCTATCGCTTAGTATTCTCTGACCACAATACACTGGACAAGTTCCAAAGAATCAAAAATACGGTGGAACAGGAAAAGATTATATTCCAAATAGCAAGCTTAAATGGAAATAAGAAGCCGAAGGCCAAATAGATACAACGTTAGTTTCTTTATAGTATTTACACGAGAAGCTTGTGGATAGTAATTCACGTGATCGACTGGATTAGATCTAGCCAATCATAGTGCAGCTAACAACACGAGAATTTTCTACCCTGTTCTCCAAGAATCGATCAGGCGCAGATTGGATAGGAAATTAGCCAATCAGCGCGCAGCTAACGCAGCCATGCTTCATTTCATCTATGTCCCACTAACACCGTCGGTAAGGGCTGCCCAATAAGGGCTTTCAAAAGAGCAGAGTTAATACTTAAAAATCCTTTAATAAAAAGGCCTTGCGTAACCGGCCTCAAGCAGTTGTCCCCTGAGCTCTGCTGTCAAGCTCCCAGGTCGTTAAAACCAACGTTAATCTACCTTCCTTTTCGGGTCCCTCAAGAAACACCCTTCCATGGTGTGGGCAGCTGGGAAGTGACAACCGTCCCCATACCCGTAACAGTACACGAGACCAAATTGGTCACAATCAAATCCTTCCTACACCCCCCTAATATCTCTCTTATCTCTACGACTAACTACTCACATTCCTTCATCACAGTGCACCGCTAATGCAAACGATGCGAGTTCAAGAAACGTTATTCCTGGTCTCCTGAAACCTTGTTCTAAATTGCATGTTGGATCATTTAATTTCCGAACATTGTGTCAAATAGGTCAGCAGGCTTCATTAGCCAGGACTTTAAAATCTGTAGCCATAGACGTATGCCGCGTCTCCGAAACGCGCATACAGGATCCGAGTAGCGTCATTCTTTTGACCTCACCATTTCAATATAAAGGAACAACTCGATTTACCCTTCGTGTATCTGGAAGCCCTGATGCTGCTTCCCAGGGTTTCGCTGCTGTAGGTATAGCTTTGAGTCCTAGGGAACAACTAGCTCTCCTAGACCAGATTTCAGTAGGTAGTCGCTTGTGCGCTGTCCGACTAAACGGGACATCAAGGACTCGGAAATATAGGGACACTCGCCGTTGCCTTTTCGTCGTATCTGCCTACGCCCCCACTGACTGCAGTTCAGACGAAGTGGAAGATGCGTTTTACAGAAAGCTTTCGGACCTCCTCTAAAAAGTTAGGCACTGATATAATAATAATGGCTGGTGACCTCAGTGACCAAGTAGGTAGACTAAGTGAAAATAAAAGACACCTGGGTCGATGTTATGGTGTCGCGGCTCAAAGAACAGATAATGGTGACCGTCTGCCGCAACTGTGCTCAGGTAACCGCCTATTTCTAGCAAACACTAACTTTAGGCATAAGGAAAGGCATCTCTTGACATGGCAACCCCCAAAGTCGTCACAACGCTCGACCCAACTAGATCACATTGCCATCAGACACCGATGGAGAGGTTTAATAGACGACTGTCGCTCGTACTGGGGCTCATGTTTATATTCAGATCGTGCCCTAGTGCGTGCGCGTATTTGTTTGCGGCTTACTGGACGAAGGAAAGACACTGCCTGAAAACCTCTCACGGTTCTACCTAATGATAGCATAGCTGTGAATATATTTCAGGAGCAATTAGAAAGACAGTTAGGCGATCATGTAAGCGATTCCCATCCGGAGGCAGGTTGAAATGATATCAAAAAAGCTGTGGAAACAGCAGTGATATCTGCTGGTAAGGTAAACCATAAGGCTAGAATGAAGCCGTGGATCTCTGTAGCATCCACCGATCTGATGGATGCTCGAAAACTCATCTCACCTGACTCTGAACATGATGAGGAACGAAGTTAGCTTAGGCGCAGGCTGATAAAAAGCCTGCGCAACGACCGTGAACAGTGGTGGATGGCGAAAGCAAAAGCGATGGAAAAGGCAGCGGCGACCTAAAGGCGGCATTCGACTGTCGATCGTGAGGTTCTGTGGCAGTGTCTGTCGTTGAAAGGCGTACCAAAGAAGTACATTAACCTTATACAAGCTCTCTACTCGACGACCACTGGTCGAGTCAGAGCTTATGGCGAACCGTCATCAGAATGGATTACTTCAAGTGGTGTTAGTCAGAGTTGTCCACTTTCCCCATTCTTCTTTAATTTTGTAATAGACATGCTGCTAGATAAAACCTTATCCTCATCTGAATTTTCAGGAGTAGACCTTTTACCTGGTGGCTTGCCTATTGACTTAGAATATGCCGATGACATAGTTGTACTTGGTGAAGACTCTGATAAAATGCAGTCTTCTAACTACTCTAAGCAACAATGCATGTATGTTCGGGATGCGGTTCTCACACTCGAAATGCAAAATGTTTTTTTCAAGATTGGGTTGCTTCGGCACCTGAACTAGTGATAGGGAATGAAGAAGTCGAGTGTGCGGACCGCTTCACTTATCTCGGGAGTGTCATCAATGCTGATGGCCTGGTGACTGACGAAATCTCAGCACGGATACAGAAGGCTCCATTGGCTTTCGCCAACTTTCGTCACTTATAGCGTAGGCAGGATATGCGTTTGCTAGCCGGTGAGAGTAGTTTCATATGTTACCGGTATTCGATCACAGGTGTATTCGAAGCATTGCTCATGTATCCTGGGACAACCGAGTACGTAATCTTGTCGTTAGGAAACGAGTACTAGGTAACGGTTGTAGGTCAATTTATGAAGTATTTAATCTTCATCAGTTGAGTTGGTTGGGATGTGTGTTACCAATGCCCGACCACCGAGTGCGTCCACGAGCTTTGTTTTGTGGTGTAGGAGCAGGTTGGAAGAACGTCAGTTGCGGTCAGATCAAAGCATGGCAGAAATCCATGAAGTTACTGATAAGTGGACTGAGCCATGTCGGTAGTTGTCGACTACTTGGTTGCGGTCCGCGAGATCAAAGTCGCCGATGGTTATTGACCTTGAATGACATGGCTCAAATTCGTTTGCAATGGCGCAGGTGCATCCACCCTTAGCGTTCTCTCAAATCCTAATCTTCTGTATTCGTCAACACCTCTACCTTTTTCCTTCTAAACTTATCTCACTGAATTATACTTTTTCAATAATATCTTAGAGCTCTACTCTTCTCCTTTACCAGTAGAACTTCTACTATCTCTACCACTATGGGATTTGAATTGACAATTGCGTCTCTGTGCTAATGTGGTATGGCAACATGAACTGATGTACTTACGTACGAAGTTCTACGTTGCAGCTGACTGACCGGTATGACGAAAAGCAGTAACTCAAGGTCTGAGAGCAAAGTCGTACTGCTGACTGTAGAGGGGCGTGACTGCAGCAAGGTGTTTCCCTCAGGCAACCAGCATTATCTGCGATTTCAGTGTCTTACGACGGAGGGAAGGGATTAGAAATGGTTGAACTATAATCACATTCAAATCCTTCGTGCACATCCTGAATGAATTCGCCTTTGGTCATCAGATAGAAGGTCATTTTCCTTCACTAGCTCGGTCATCGACTATTGGTAAGTAGGCGGAACCACTGTTAACTCTCTTTACTTCGTGAAGTATCAAACCACTATCTATTGCCTATTCTCTTTTGACATATCTAAACTTTTAAACCCTACGATCGTAGAGATAAATGTCATAGTAGATTCATCTAGGGATTCATTTATTTCGGTTCCATGTAAATTTATTCAGAATTTCTTGACAAACAAGCTAAGATCTGTCATTTATTGTTAACAGATCAGTGTTTTGGTTGTTTACTGATACAGTTTGTTTATTAATTTTAGGAACTACTTCTAATCCAAATCAGTTCACAGGTGGTGTTGTACTTACACCTGAGCAAGTTGAACAGATACGTTATCAAAAGGAAGTATGTTGTTAGTTACATCATGTTTATATCGGCTGTTCAATATAATATGTATTATTTTGAGTGGTCGGAGCTTTTTTTCAGTTAGGTTAATGGTGTTGGTAAACCTGTAACTTAATTTATCCTCAAATTTTATCACGTAGTACCATTAACTTTCATATTTCCTATTTTGTTATTCTTAATTTAGTAGATGAATTAAGATGCTAATCAACAACTCATTCACTTTACATTTACCGAAATCCTATAATATTAATCACAACCTGCACTATCGTCAGTGGAAATCTTGTAATTGCAACACGTTTTGAGGACTGTTTAGCGATGATAATCAAAAGATTATCCTACTTTCGTGTCTCATTGATCAGTTTTCTACATACAAGAACCGTCATGATCTCGCTTAAACTTGCTATTCCCTCATGAATCATAGACTGTTTTCTGGGGAGTTCGAATCGTTTCTATCCTGAGTCGCTATATCCTATTCAGTTCCATTGTCATCTAGTTTCCTCAAATTCATGAACTTTTCGACTACTTCTATGTGCAGCTTCAGTTTCTTGTCAGTCTCGTAAAATTTCTTTGCAGTTAGTAGATGAAAAGCACATTACATGCCTATGGACATAGATCGCCAACTGATTAAATGCATGACTTGGGTATCATCACACAGTAAAAACATATTTTCCGCATTCCAAAGGTCGAAAAATCTTACCTCAGGTAACAGATCCACGCCATCATTACCTACATTCATCGATGGCAAAATTGAAGAGTAATGGTGAGATAGAACAACCTTGCTTAATCCCACTGCTTAAATGAAACAATGGAGGGGGGCGGTTGTATGCCATCACTCTGACGGAAGTCTGCAAAACGTTGATAAACTTCCCGGGAACACCCTTCAGTAGACTGTCCCAGAGAACGGTCCTATCTAGTGAATCGAAGGCAACTCTGATTGTTATCCTGTGACAGGTATGGCGGTGTTCTAACATTTGGCGGAGAGTGAAAATATAATCAATACATCCTCGATTGGAACAGAGACCGGCCTGCTCCTTGAGTGTCAATAGTTTTGATTATGGTCTGCTTAAATACTAATTAAAGCGTGAATAGTTATTCTAGTTTTCGTCAGTTTATGTGAAGGCTGAAATACTATCCAGGTGCCCAAGTTAGATACAGCCGAGATTGTCTTTTTTCTCAAATCCTTCCGAAAAGGACGTGAGACACCTTCACAAGTCACCCGTATATCTGACCAGCTTGTTGCTTTGTCATTCTTGATTAATATTTTCTACAATTGATTTTGATTTGAAATCATGCTTAACATTATTTATCTTGTAACCTTCAGTACGGTTGTTCATTATTATGCAACAATCAAATCTACGAACCTCTTAGTAATCTTATTAGAGAGGAACAGGTGTCTCTGAGGCATTGCTCATGTATTCTTTCACTACCGAGTCAGCAATGGTGGGGTCAGGAGTGGGTAACTAGGTAAGGATGGTGATGACTTTACTTACTAGCCCAAGTTCTGCGTTGCTTGTAATCGATTGATTTGCTAGCACAGTCAGCCAACAATATAACGATTTATACTCTCCTAGTACTTATTCGTTTTTTCCATTCGATTATCTGTGTGTTAGAGGTGTTACATTTTATAATTAGACTTAGATATTTGTCGTTCGCCATTTTAACTGTGATTGGCTGACTAAATTTGATCTCTGAAGAATGTATGGGTGTATTGCTACATAGTCTCATTAACTATTCAGTGCAACCTTCAATGATGCTTTAATCAAACTTACCAAAAGATCTCATTTCATTGATTTATTGCCAAATATTTATTTAACACACGTTTAATACTTTATTCTAACCGTTTGCAATTGCGTAGATGCATTCATTCTTTGTGTTCTCTCAAATCCCAAACTTTTTAATTTCTCATCACTTTATCTTTATCTTTTTAAGTCTATTTCACTAGATTCTACTTCTTGAGTAATATCTTCTAATCCTAATCTCTCCGATAACTACCTCTACTATTACAGGATTTGAATTGAAAATTACATCTCTGTGCTAATGTGGTATGGCAACATGAACTGATGTACGTACGTAGTTTTACGTTGCTATTGATTGATTGTTCCAACAATTCGTTTTTATTTGATTGGTGGCTTGTGCATCCGAACTAACATTAAATCTTTATTTTTCTATCGTTGTTTCAGCTTCAAGCTATGCAAGAGTTTATTTTAGCACAAAAACGATCAAAGTCTAAGGAGGAAGAGCTTATGAGTCGAATTGAGGGTGTAAATTATGGGAATAAAACACGAATCACAAAGGATGGTTTAATCATTAAATACGAGTATGATTCCGATGAAGACTGTGAAAATGGAACATGGGAGCATAAATTAAGACAAGCAGAAATGGAAGCAACTCGAGGTGATGCTTTTTCTATACTTCAAGTTGATGTTCAGTTTCCTATTGATGAGATATTTGGTTTTGTAGATTTACTTTGTGATCCTTAGAATGGGAGGTACTTAATGTACCAATAGTCACTTGAACGAAGGCCATTTCTATTGCAAAATGTAGTACAATTAATAGGGCTGTGAATATACTTAGGATTATGAGAAGAAAAGTGAAGTTCAGTCACACATAATTTATAGTTCATTTCAAGTTGTAGACTGTTCTGTTCATTGTTATGCAGCAATACAATCTGCAAACTTATTAGAGAGGAAAAATTGTTCATGTATTCTCAAACCACCGAGTCAGCAATGGTGGGGTTAGGAATAGGGTTGTAGGTAAGGATGGCAAATTGATTGATGAGCCAGTGAATCCTCATCAACGTATGTCTAACCGTCGCCCATTTCGAAGAGCAATGTTTCCTAGTGTAGGAATAGTCTGGAAGGAACCTAGAGGCGGTCATCAGCTCATCAAGTCATTGGCAATTGGACTAAACTGTGTTATTAAGTATAGAAATACCTGATTCGGGTCAGTGTGATGGTCGTTACAGATTTTCAATGACATGGCTGGAAATCGTTTGCTATAGCACAGGTGCATCTATTGTTTGTCTTCTTCCAAATGTTGAGCTTCTGAATTCCTCATAACTTATTATTATTCATTTATTTCATTGATTTATATTTTTTTGAATCTTATCTTCGGTCCCTAATCTTTTGTATTACCACTGATTCTGTTTCTACTTCTGCTACTCCTATTCGGCCTAACGTTTTCATCTCTTCGTGCCAGTTGGGTAGGGCAATTTGAATTGATGTTCATACGTACCGAGTTATACGTTACAACAAAATGACCAATAAACAGAGAGGAATAGATCACGATGTAACGAAATTGACAATTCCTTCTAACATGTACACTGTAGGATTTAATTTGTCCTACAAATGTACTTCTAGAACTGTAAACGCAATATTGGCGAGCGCAGAGTCTGTGGGAAAGGCATAGTCAGAACAAGACCAATTTTGCTTTAAACTTTATCTGTTTCTAAACATAAAAACAATTAGATTAGTACAATAAATAAGGAAATTACAGTTACCAAGTGAAACGATCAAACATGCCGAACAATATAGCGTGTTTTATGGAAATGAATAAAGTTATGAGTCACATCAATATAATAAGATAATAATGTCCTTCAGTTAGTACGTCATTTATAACAAAGGAAGTTTACAGACACGTCGGATCAGATCACGTGGTGGGCGCTTAAACCACAATTTGATTGGTTAGTTATGACATAACTACAATTAGTTATGGAAATAATTAACATACACCTTTAATTCTGTGATCAGCCAACAATGCACAAACCGTGTACCTTCCTTCAACTATTCATGTTACTTCCGGAAACTTCAAAATGTAGTCAATTCAATCGATAGTTTATGTCGATTAGTTTGCGTTTCAAATTTATTCATTCATTTAACAGTGCTACTTGTTTCTCACACTTTCATGCCATTTATAGAATGGGCTCAGAAGTTGACTGAAATGGGTCATGGAAAGCATCATATTGGAGACTTTCTACCACCAGATGAATTAGAGCGTTTCATGGAAACTTTCCGTGTATGTTGCATTATGATTATTTTCATTTTGTGTTTCAGTTATTGTACATGATATCACAAATCAACCATTATATAAGGTTGGCTTGCTTGATTGTTGTTAACTTATTTATAAAACAGAGGAAACTCAACAATCATTACATCTTTCCCTTTTGAATAAATCAAATGCTATTGACGTCACCTTGATGACCATACGAGTATTCGCAGTTGTTAAAAAGCCTACTTTTTCTCTAAGGATTTAAAATTACTGTATAAATCGACATCTTATAGATTATTTAATAGTTAACCTAAGGTTTGGATACAAATTTTTTGTTTACCATGGTGGCATATAACCGGCGACCGACATTATACCGCCACTAAACTAGATACTCGGTGTATGTACAATGTACACATTGGATCATGTTTTACGAATTACAAAATTCACGACCGAAAATGATGAACGATTGTATAGGCCAGACGATACTTAATTCGACATGATTACATTCGATGAGTTCAGAGTAGAAATCAGTAATAGGAAGAAAATCGCATCTAAATGTCTGTTTGTTCATACGTATTTAATAACCAATCACATTTTTCTTTGACTAACCTCACATTAGTACTTACCTTTGATAAAAAGCATTAGCTCCTTCCAATGAATTATCATGAGATTGGAATTTTAAATTGTTTGCTACCTGCAGTTTTAGTGGGCGGTAGATTCAACAAGCTTTCTGGAAGGTATGTCTGAAAAATCATATCTCATGTTGAAAAATTTCTGTGAATTTATTCGCTTATCAAAAGAATAAAAATCGAAGTCGGCATTACCTGCTAATTTTTTTTTAAAACAAAGCATGAATTAAGTTCAGTCCCGCCTCAGCTACTCTGCACATCCGTAAATTATTATTGTTTGCGACGAAGTTTGATTTATAGATATATTCCTGTTATACTTTGTGATTGATGGGCAAGGTGAATCTGATGCAGATATAAAGGTGCGGATTGACAGAGCAGGGACATCCTTTCTATAATGGAGGGACGTTTGGAATTCAGAACAACTGTCAACCAACATCAAAGTCACACCTTTCAATACAAACATCTAGACAGTTCTAATGTAGTCGGTGGAAACTTGAAGAATGACCAAAACCATCATCCACAAGATACGGGTGTTGATTATTAGTTCTCTGCGTAACGCACTTAAGATTCGTTGACCGGACACCATCAGCAGGGGGTAAGACAGACTTTGAGGGAACCATCCAACTACGTCGCAAGACAAGCCTTCACCTGAACTCCCTAAGGCCTAAGGAGAAGAGAAAGACCAAAGAACATATTACACCGAGAATGGGAAGCAGTGATTGGGTGGAATTAGAAAGAAATGTCCAAAACGGAGTGGTTTTGAAAATGCTGTCGGCGGCCTATGCCTCATTGGAGGTGACAGGCTGAAGTCAGTAAGTAAGTAGATGCTCTATGACCATCTGGGTCTTCTACTGACATATGCACCCTGTATATCTGAGCCCGAATAACTGTTCGAGTGAGAAAACCAAGAAAGTCAACGCTTACTCGAATCAAAACAAGCACAACTTATTCTCAAATATCTTTTTTCCTCAGAAAAATAAATCCAGATTTCCAGTCGTTAACAGCCTGGTCCTCAGAAGAACAGCATGGTTCGTCAACATCTCTCACCTATTGGTTCAGGATACCGGTTTTCAGCATTATATCCATGTGTGAAGTCTCGTTACTATCCGAGCACGAATTTTTCATGTCAAAACAAGAGTATTGTTTCCTCAACCTGTGACAGTTTTCTGTCTGAACATTGCTTATTTTTGTATTAGACAATTTGTATTTTGTTATCCTTATTTTATTCGCAACTAGGCATTAAAAGAAGGTCGTGAACCCGATTTTTCTGAATACAAACAATTCAAGTTAACTTGTGAAAATGTCGGTTTTCAAATGTTAGAAAAAATGGGTTGGAAAGAAGGTGAAGGACTGGGTGTTGATGGTCAAGGTATTGTTAATCCAGTCGATAAGTGAGTCCAGTATTTTCACCACCCATCGTTATCTATTGTTTTTAATATCTTTTTATTTAAGGATGGATGTTTATAAAGATTTGTGCTGAAATACCTAATTGTTTGTTCGTTTTTTCAAAATCTCATTAAAAGAGGGAACGTCCATGTTGATGGTGTAGGACTAGGAATTGATCGTCCTTCCAAGTTAGTAAAAGAAGATGATGAGTACGATGCATACAGGAAGCGTATGATGTTAGCTTATCGCTTTCGACCAAATCCTTTGGTAAGTAAAATGTTGTAAACGATTATTTTTTATTTTCAGCTTAAGATCTAATATCTAGCATTAATTTTTGTTTTCCTTTAGTGGAACACGATGCAGCTTTTTTTCTCGAAACTTGATACAATAGACATGTTTTGACTCTATAATCTCGCTATGTCGATGTATGTCACACCTCCGAAACGCCCTACAGTATCTAATTACGGTCATTCATTTGATCTTACCTTGTCAGTTTAAAGAACCTGTGCGATTTACCCTTCATGTATATGAAAACTCACTACCATTCCCTGTAACCTCTCTGTTATAGATATAGCGCTAAGTTCAACAGTGGAACCGGCTCTCCTAAACTGGATTATAGGAGATAGTCACTTGTTTGTTGTCCTACCAAACGAGACAGTAAGAACTCGGAAACATAAGGACACACACCATTACCTCTTAGTTATCTCTGCATACGCTTCCACTAATTGCAGTTCAATTGAAACCGAAGTTGAACTTTATGGGAAACTTTCCAACTTCCTTCAACAAGTTAGACGTTCAGGTGTGGCGATACTGGCAAGTAATCTTAATGTTCAAGTAGGTAATCTAAACCAAGTCAAAAAGCATTTGGTTGTATCTTGGGGTGTTGCGGCTCAGCGAACAGATAATGATGACTTTCTGTTGCATCCACGCTCGGATAACTATTTATTTTTGACGCGCATCAACTTTAAGCGTAATGAAAGACATCATCCGACATAGCAATCCTCACACTTAATTACATGATAAACTCAAATAGAATATGTATTCATCAGCCATTGTTGAGGAGGTTTAATAGAAGGCCCACTTGTTCTAGAGTATGTGTTCAGACTCAGATTATGGTTTATGCAAGCACGTATTTTTTTCGCATCTTACTGGACACAAAAGCCTTAGCAATAAAACCCATATGAGTTTAGTTTATAAATAAAAGCAAGAATATGTTTCAGGAACAACGAGAAGAGTTAGTCTACTAAGTAAGTGATATCCACACCAAGGTATCTTGGCATAATACCCAAATAGCTATAGAATCAGCAATGATATCTATCAGTAACCTAAACCAAAAGTTTAAGAATCATCAGTGAGTTTCTGTAACATCTATTGAACGGATAGATAGTTTAAAACTCCTATCTGGCTTTAAACTATGAAGAGTGGAGGCAAATGACCACCTTAACCATGGACCCTTGCTTTATCCGCTTTTGTCATCATCATCATCAACTCTCCTGTTTTGTCTGAATTCGAAGATATCGTGACGCAACTGATACAAAGCGAAATAATTCAATGTTCTACTTTTTAAAGCTTCTTGGGATTGCATTTATTTTTTCATGTGTAAATAATTATTATCTTCAATAGGTTAGAATATTGTACTCTATTTTATTGTTATTTATTTTAGAACAATCCTCGTCGAGACTACTATTAGCAAAAAAAGCAACATTCGTATTAATCATATCTATTATGCATCAAAATAATGGCGACAAAACTTAATCAGTCTGTGATTCCGAACCATTGCTATTTTCATTATCGCTATTACCATTATTGTTATATGCATAAAGGTTTCTATTTATCACCTGTCAGTATGCAAATCTGTATAATTTTATGAAACCTTGTATTTAAACCATGGATTTTCTTTTACGTATGTATATGTAAAGTTAACTGCTATATAAAATATACAAATACATTTTTATGTACACTTACTAGTTCTGTTTGTTCCTAACCAAATCATTCCTGTTTGAGCTTGTTCTTGCAAAGTTGTAGCTTTCTTAACCAATGCTTGACTTCTAATGAATCGAAGAAAACTGGTTAAGTGAATACTTGTAACGTGTAAAGGACAAAACGTCACATCCAAAATATTATACTTACACGCGTAATTTTTCATTGGGAACGTTAGATCCCCAAAACTCACTCGATAAAGGTCCTAATTTCGGATTTTTTGCTTTCGCGCATGGACTGTTCAGTTGACCTTGGAGTTACATTTCCCACCCAAAAATCCTTGACTCTCATTGGTTGATGTGTTATTTTAGTTCGCCATTTTGTGGCTCTGTCAGGGACGTTCCTATCATATATGAATAAACTTTATTTGTCAATCTCATATTTTCTGGGTGCTTGTAGAATACACTTTCTACGCTATATCAAGACTTCTTCCTCTACTTAGTGGGGCCTTGGGACGATCGGATTAGAGTAGCCTATCGTGTTACTGGATCATTTGTCTTCGCTCTCGTTTACCGACTAAGGTGAACTTGTAAAAGTTTCAAGCATATCAGTTGACGAGCATATCATTTTTAATGTGGATGATTGCAGTGTTTCTGGCGATACCTGGATAGCTTTACTTTTCGCCATGATCAGTCATTTTAATATTAAGTTCGATAGTTCGCATAAGGCTAAACTAGCAAAAATGGTAATTACGCTTTCTGTTTCTACACCAATAGTTGGTCACTCTCTTGTTTTCCTATAATCAGGTTAATAATTAGGATATCGGTTTCAAACTAATAGGATATTAGAATTTTATTTATTTTGGTAATAATCTTCACTATAAATTGATCTTGGTTAAATAGATTTTGGAAAGGATTTTCCTGAATAGCTAGTTTTTAAAATTTTAACTACTAATTCATCTTAAATCCTGGTTTTGTCTTGCTTTTTAGACGGGTTTCTATCCTTAACATTGGGATGAAACAGTTTCATTAATTTCTATATTATGCTATAAACTTTCTCGAGTCTATTAAACTCTTACGAAAGTCATATGTATTGGAATCATTATTTCAAGTTTTGATTCTAACTAGTGAACGCTTAAACATCTAACCTAAATTTATTTGGTTTTTGTGCGTATATTTTCCAACATTTAGCTGGAATTTGTAGATTTTATGCTTGGTTTGTGCGAAGCGTAATAAACTCTAGGTGAAGTTTCAAATAAAATTGTTTTGGTTCTAATTACATCGATGGAATTTGAAAAGCATTAGTTGTATGATAGTTACACAGAATCTAACCACCATATCATATTGCGTAACAAGTCTCTTTCATCTATCTTTCGTTTTTTTAAACGTAATTTGTAATGTAATTTGATCAAATCCCTTCTTAATATTTACATTTGTAAGGAAATTTTACTGATGAATATAATGCAATAACAGGATTGTAATGGTGTGTAATGTCGCAACAGACATTCACTGGTACAACTAGACAATTTGTTGGTGCTAGTAGTGGTGGTAATGATAGTTCACCCATATCATATCAACCAGTTTGTCAGAGATGCTTTAATCCATTACAATTGGATCAAGATTTTGAACATTTACAGAAAACGGAATTAATGACTTTAATCGGTGAGATATTTTTTATTTCTTTGAAAGTGTAATTTACATTGTCTTTTATTGGCCCTAAATAATAAATTTTATATTTTGTCAAATCGTTATTGATATTTCCAGTCAACAGATTAATAAATCATATGGTTTGTAATAAAAATCAAATAAATTGACAATAATCAGTATAGTCAAGTGAAATCATTAACTTTTCAATAGTGAGTGCATTAAATTGATCCTATTTGGGAGTGTGTGGTCTTCAGTATTCTGTTATTTTCACGGCATTTTCAAATAACTCTTTCGTTCATTATTATTTATGACTGAGATAATCCTCAAAGTTGCTACACGTCAAAAATTCAGTCATACATAATTAGTACACACTACTCATATAAGAAAGCAAACACAGGATAGTATTCGTATCTGATTCAACGGTTCACGTCATCATTCTATAAACCGAAACTGCTCTTAACTGATGTTTATCGTATGTACTAATTAGTACCCGTTTATTGTCTATCATATGAGTTCCTGAACTATAATACATGTTTCTGTTTTCGAAAGTGTATTTATTTCAAATGATTCGTACACAAATATTATGTTCCTACATTTGCGTACCCTAATGTTGGTAGTTCAACTTTGATTTCAGATTTGTTTATAAATGTATCTGTATTAACTTTCGTATGTTTTTAAATGATTGGATAAGGTAGTCAGTCTATGAAACTTTGTTTAGAACTAAAAATTCCTTTTCAAAAATGACATATATATATTGTTGGAGATACAAAAGTTACTGTTGTAATGAGCAAAGACGTTAAGCCCAGAATTAATTTTATGATTTATTAAAGGAAGATAGATTTTACTAGCAAAGTGTGTACACCTTATTTTTAGGCTTCGTTTGCAAAACAAGCAGATTCTTGGCTACTTTCTTTCACTTGTACTCTAGTCTTCAAGACCCTGATCGCGCCACACATCCAAACCGGGCACTCTTCGCTTCAGCAGTAACTTTTGGGCGGCACCGCTTCAAACTACTCATAAGCGATGTTGAGAGTAGTAGCCATCACATTGGTGTACTGTTAACATTAGTAGAAGCAACAATCGCGTTTGAAATTTTTCTTTTGCTCATGTCATGAATACATAAATAATACCTTAGTTGAGAAGATTTCACAGCCTCATCAACCGATTTACCATATGTTCCTAGTGCGCGATGTTTTACCTCAGCGTAACTCACTTATCGATCCCATCATAAACGAGTAGTACTACAAAAGGAACTATAATCATCTTTCAGCTGCTCTTGTATTCAATCAGTCATAAGTAACATAGAATCTGGCACAAACGTGATCCGGTAATATATAATGGGAATGTGATTTAACATTCTCAGCAAACACCATTTGCTGTATAGTGTTTCGTGAACTCTGAGATGGAAGTGAGAATTTGCATCAAAAAGGCTTGTTTGCTTCTGTATGCCTCAAAATAACAGGCACAATCATTATGATTGTCGAGGAAAAAATTCAGATGCTGACTTCAGGTCAACGAGTGCAGCTAGAGTAGGACGTTGGTAGTATGCTTATTTCCCTAAACATGACAGGTGGCGAGTAATTAATTGATACCCCATCTTCCAGGTTTGAACAAGCAACCTCTCTCCGGTCTGATTTCCTGCTTTACTTTTAATTGATGCACGATTATCGGCTCCAAGTTTAGATGCTATGTTTATTATGTATATCTCAGTCATTTTATCTATCAATACTGGCCTAGTAACCGTAATTTTCCTGGAAGTTAGTCCATTAGGACCTTGTACTTCATAATCTTTATAGCTTTACTAACAGTTGACAGTCCAAAATCAATCGCTCATTGTGTCTATCGGTTAACATAGTGACTGGAAAGTTTTATAGTTCCTCAATGTTTTTCCCTATTTTCGAGCTTTCTGCTATACATACTCCTGAAAGACCGAAGAAAGCAACTAGGAAATCTTTGTTGTTGAGTTTTCGTATAGTTTAACAGTGAGAGATACGGGTTCTCCACGTATTAGGATTAGTATATGTGAATAAGTGCACTTAATTCCCGTTTTCTGGTTTCAAAGGCCTATCATATGAGTACCTCATGGAGTCTTGATTAATGAAACCTGTAGTAGTCACATAGTAAGTACCAAAGAAGTATCTACCTAAAGGAGTTGTAAAACTCTGATTCCAAGCCAATAGTGTACATGGGCTTCAGTATCCCGATGGAACAGATGGTGTATGAAGATATTGTTGGTCATCATCTACCATAGGACTGACTCTCTTGACTTTTCTCCACTATCTTGTAGATTAGACCCCCAGGTCAAGTGATCCGTTAATGACCCCCAGAGAAGACCACGTGCTTCAGTTCGGTCACCCAAGCAATATTCACACACAGTTTCAGGAGATAAAAATAATATTTTAGAGGTTAGGATCATTACTCTAGCTGCACATGACGGAGAAAATGAAATTTTTTTTACCATGTTGAAGTCTATGATTGATTAACATTTAACTAGTCACTCTGTGAGGAACTTAAAAGTCACCTGTATCGATGGTTTTGACCTCCTAAGGATGTAATCGCAAATTTCTGTGGGTAACTGGTTGAAACCAATCAGACAACCGTTGTTACGTAATTATTCTTGTTGTGTTAAATATTTGGAGGCTATCTTTTTTATCTCTCCATGAAAAAACAGGATTGGTTGATGTGCTTTTTACAATCAGGAAACATCTTACTGAACCCATACCCTGATACAGTAGACAACGTCATCGAGTCCGGAGGCCTAAAGTGTTTCTGTTTTTTTGTCCTCCTTAAATCTACTCGAATGGCAGGCGTTTCAGTCAGTAGAAGTCAGAAATTTTGCTATTATTGGGGTACATAAACTGTTCATCAAAGTAATGTTAGCGGTTCAGACCTTAGTATAAATAATTAATCAGTCTTTACACTTTTTTTCCTGCCTATCTAACAATTTTTCAAAAATATCAAATTTACTGTTTGGTCTCTGTAATATTTCGAATATATTCTTTTCAATCATAGATGCTACAACTGCTGATAGTGAAATATCTGATCCAATTAATTTAGTACCTGTTAAGAATTCTACCACTCCTCGACCAAGATTCATTGTTCCACCATAGTAAGTTTTCTCTAAAAGTACGTAGCACTAATGCTCCGTTTTTGGTATGATTTTGGATATTTATGCTAATGTAAACGTTGTTATTTATTTTTTCTAAATCAATAGTTAGGAGAGGTTCGTATTCTGTGATGTGTGGGAACTAGCAATGATGTAAAGGTCACGACCTTCCTTCGATGAATTAGTTAGTATTTGCTCTAAATTTTCTCTGTCTGCAATCGTATTATTAGTGAATTTGATTATTTTATACGAAACTAGATCCTTTGCACAACAAGTTTGATGTAAATTTCTTTTCTTTACAGTTCGTTTATACGTTGTAAATTGCGGCTTTTTTCGTGTAAGAGTAATAAGATCTAAAAGCTTTTTCATTATTTTTGCTGCCAGCTTCTACATAAATGCATTAATCGTGCACGACTGAAGTAATTTAGCTTTATTTATTTGTTTTCCCTAAATTTATCCTAAAATTTATAGCCATAGAAATTAATGTTAAAGCATATGATTGTATAAGTTTGAAAATGTGCCCCTTGTGAGGAATCCTTTCAGATTACTAGTTACTTTGTAAATTAATGGCTACATTTCATTCTAACATTTAGTTAACCACTATTTCTTAACCTCTTTTAACAGAAATACTAACCTATGGTATGTATGAAAATCACGTCTTGGGACAAATTGTCATTGTTATTTTACGTATCTTGGAAACAAAATGACCAGTTGAGGTTATTAAAAGTCCATATACACTAGTTTCTAGTATATATTTTTCTATTGGATATTATGGTTTATTAACGCAGTTATATATATATATATATATATATATATATATATATATATATATATATTTGTTTTCTTACTAACTGAATATCTTTTTCATTGCATCGGTTGTTCAGTTCGGCATTATCTCTGTTAAATGATGATAAAGATCCAATCGAAACTCTTCAGTCATATTCAGGACCTAGTTCAAGCCTTGATCATCGTCTCAAGGTGAGTTGAAAGACTGGTATTTTAAACTTTTTATAACCTAGCTGTGAATTATATCTATTTCAACACCAATGCACCCATATGTCTTCAGGTGTTCAAACCACCCATTTAAGCAACCGACTCTGTTACCTTCCGATGTGATTTAAATAATTATCTCACTGTTTCTTTATTTAACTGAAGTTGGAAATGTGTATCATCAGATTTTAACTTAGTTGTCTGAAGTTATCGAAACTGGAGCAATAATTGTTTTTGTATTCAATTTCTATAAGGGTCGTGAATATACACTGCTGAGGAATCACATACCCGTGATAAAAGATGTTTACAGATCTCTTATCTTCAGTGATTCCTTATCTGATATCAGTCTGTGATGAAATCGTATTTAAATGAAAAGGATGTGTAATCTAATGTTGTTTGATGTTGATTCTAACTGAAAAAAATTTTAAAGACTCATCAAACAAGAACTAATGTTGATGAATTTGGAACTATGATGGAAAGTGCGATGACACTTAAGCATTACATGAAGCGACCTTATCAACATGAAACAATCAAAGTTGCATATCATTCCATTCTTACATTAAGCTTAAATGAACATCAAGTCAGACAGTCAGACCTAGTATGTACATGCATCGGTTCAAGTTGTCATACCTCATTAGTACAGTGATACGATATTTTCAGGGCAAATCTCAGAGCAGAGTATTAAGCCCGATCGACAAATGCTAAGAAATATTGTTTAGGAAAAGTACAGCTTCATGTCAGCCTTTTAGTTGACATCAAGTATCAAAGAAGACTTTCACCAAGTTTATTGATTCATTGACCGTAAAGTATCTAGTACGCTTTTCATATATTTTTGTGATAAGATACTTCCGGAAAAAAGCTACCTTAAGTGTTACGGTTTTCCTTTCGATTTGCTCCTTATCAAGATGACAAAAATAACTAAATTTTACTCAAATTGATCAATCGTTCAGTAGTGACAAGTTTCATGTTTGTCTGGTTCTTTTTGTTAACTGCCCAACTTGCAATTTAGACTCTAGGGTAGGTGACTGAACATTTCATTTACTATCTTTCGATGTCAACTTTTCATCACTATTGATCAGTCAGTCAAAATATTCTGGTCGCATAGGAGATTTGTGGTAATCAAAATAGCTCAGTGGTAATATCTCTAAATTCTGCATTGGTTAACAAATTTAAAATTTTTAAAGCAGAACCAATTGAATTCTTTCATTTATCCACATCGTTTAACTTTCAAAAGCCATGTGCTATAATTAAATAATAAAACTTAGTTTACGCGAACGTGCAACTTATTTCATAGTAGCTGACTATTTTCATTGTACATAATTAGTTTATTCAGTTTTTTTGTAATTCTCTAAGCATTAACATCGTCATCATTACTAATATCATTATTTTTCATATTCGTAATTACAATTGGATTTACCATTTATTTAGGTGAATGCATGTTTATTTGATGTATTAAGTGGTCGTACTGAAGTTGATCATCCATTATGCCAAGAATGTGCAGATACTTTACTGTTAGCTAAACAACAATGTTTAGAATTTCAAGAAGAAGAAATGAAATGTTTACAGTGAGTATATAACTAATTATTATTTCTTCATGTGTTTTCTTGTCCCTAGTTATTATCAGAATTAATTTTTACTCGAAGGAACACAGATTCTTTGTTCATCCTTTCCATGTAGTATTGAGGGCTGCGGAGATTGTTGAAATATTTCTTTTTTTTTAACTTCACATATTGAACTTGATAATAATAATAAATGACTTTATTCAGTCAGGAACAACAAACAGCATATATGTATATGCATATCCATTTTTCGTTGATTTAATACAATATCAGTATATACATTTTGGTTGGTATCTCTACCTATTGAAAAATAATCCAGATGAAAATTTATTTTAAATTGTGACTAATATGATTTTTTGTTTGACTCCTACATCAAAATGATTTACTTTAGTATCACCAACAACCCTTACAAGGAATAGTTTGTTTTCAAAATCTAGTACACAAAAATTTACACTGAATGTATTGAGTGTAAACAGAAAACTTAAATGACGTTGTGTATACTTGGACTATGATTGCATTATATATATATTTCTTTGTCATTATTTTTCAGATTTTACTTATCATATCTTGATTCGACTGCTGGAAAAATTGAAGCTAAATTAAAATCTAAACAAGCTCTTAATTTAATATCAGCGCAGAAAAAGAAAAATAAAACTCTTTCATGTGAAACAATCACTGAATCACATGATCAGATCTCTGACAAGCAATGTACCACCACATCTGATAACGAAAACACTGTATTTCAGAAAGTGGTTGACAATGATGTCAACAATCAGATGAATAACGACTCGGAACTAATTGATTCTGTATTGAGTCTTGCATTTGATGATAATGATGCTTATTCTGATGACGATGATAATATTGATGATGATGATGATGATGATGATGGCAGCAACACAGATAATAGTAGTCATGATGTGAAAACCGATAAAGAAATTAAAAAATATACATCAGGTCGTAAAAAATGTAAAAATGTAAATGAACTTGAACAGACATTAAATACCCTACAATCCACTTTAAATCAGTTGCTAATTGAAAATGACAAATTGGATAAACAAATAGCTCAAGACACAGCCGAGTTAGAAAAACGTACGGAAGAGTTAGATCGGTAAGTTTTCTTTGGTAAATGTGTGTAGACACAGTATTTGCTTTAATTAGTTAGTGCTTTAGTGTTTTGTGCTTATTCGAATTTATGCAAATTTCTTTCTCACAGTAGCTTACATCTTTGGAGCTCTAACTAAAATTTTGAAGGTTACTATGTGTGTGCATTGATCAATTTTGGTTCGAACTGTATGGGTTAGTTTGTGATTGATCTATAAGAAGCTAAATATAAAATGACTAGGATTTCTAAACATGAATGCCCAAGCAAGAATATTTTGAAAACTTTAGACTATTTTATCAAGTCTACTATTTACCTACATAAAATAACTATATACTTCTTAACTAGTCCTAACTAGCACTTAGAAATATTGCATGCAACTTTCCTTTCCAAGTGTTTTCTAGAATATGCAAAACGTAACGTTAAGATCCAATCATACATAAACTAACGGTCCATCGATACACTATAAAAATGTGTTGTCTTTCTTCTGTCATTATTTAATATTATTAGTTGTGTAAAGCGATGAAGACTCACATAATTTTCGTTCTCACTGCTTTTGAAGTCTTTGATGATACGGCTCAGAATCAATATCAGTGATACAACTGTTTATTCTTGCTCTTTCGGTTGACGCTTGGTAATGCTCCCTCATAATTGTTATGTAATGTAACCAATTCGACCTCTGCATATTTGTACTACGTTGTAAGTTGTTTGTGTTTATTGACTGATAGAATAAAGTAAGAATATGCACGTGCTGAAAATTTTCACGTCTTTTAATCTATATCTACGAGACAAATTTTTGTTATGAGAGAGTACGATCATTTTCGATTCTAAATTAATTTCTTGAATCCTTCTTTCGCAAAATTATATTATATGAAAACGCGAAACTTTGAACAAGTAAAGACAATTTACGACTAATTACATTTCTATTGGACGCTAATGTTTCTAATACTAATCCAAGTTAAGGTATTTCTCACATTTGCTTGCTAACTTGTATGTATGAAATTTCGTAACTGTTGGAATCATATATATATATATATATATATATATATATATATATATATATATATATATATATATATTTCATTGCATCCATTAGAGCTACGACTCAGTATAATGATCAAAAATTGGCCTTAATTGAAGCAGAAGAAGAAATGCAGTGCTTAGAATCTCGACTAAGCTATGCTCGGAGTCATTTGCATCGATTGCAGCGCACAAATGTACTTAACATTGCTTTCCCAATATGGTACGATGGTCATATTGGTGTAATCAATGGACTACATCTTGGTCGTCTGCCTAATCGTCCTGTAAGTTTCTTGACAATGACTATTACTTGAATTATGTGCACAAATCGAAATGATCATCAAATATTTAATTAAAACTTTAGTTTTAATCTATATAAAGGCTCTATGTTTGGCAGATTCAAATGTACTGCCTAACGATTGATATGAAACCTATATTTCATGTGCAAAACATTCTGCTTACTCGATCAATCAATATAACTGAAATATAACTAATTTCGCCTGGTAACACTGATAATAATCGATTGTAGTCCTCATATTAGTTGGAAACATACTGAAATCCTTCACAGCATGAAATTTGTTGATAATCAATAATGAATTATGTTGATGACTGATAAATTCTATATAGACCATTTCAATTTACTTTAAATGTGATCTCATCGCCTTAATAAATTAATTCTGCTAGTATAACTTTTTAGGAGCTATGTTAGGCGCCATTTGCTCAAGCTTCCGTGTCATTACTTTTTGTTTCTTGGACAGTTGGACAAATCCTTTAGAATTCATTCATCTCATAGAGGTCAATATTTTCTCTGGTATTAATAAAAATTTGTGTTTCAAAGAAAAAGCGCCGTTATGTTATCGGTTATTGGTTTTTATCTCATTTCATAAGGTTGGTTGGGAAGAGATCAATGCAGCGTGGGGTCAATGTGCTTTATTATTACAGTGTATTGGAAAGAAACTAAATTACACTTTTCAAAAGTTAGTCACTTGTATGCAAACCCCATGTTTCTTTTGTTTTTAAATGTTAATAACTGTTCAACATGGCAGTTTTCGATATTGATTTTAAAAAATTGCTGACAGTTCCAAAGTTCAGTTTCTATAAAAAGAGTATGTGCATATTGTTATGTCGTTGAATCTCTGACTGAAATTACGTGCCTTGTTACCAATCTGAATCCCGGTTCTGATTTGGTTTTCTATTAACTCCATAACTGTATGTCCTTGTGTGATTGATCACACTCCCCGACCAGCACCAGTAACGTTGATTCAACTGCAGAGCCCTTATTGGTCCACGATTTTGTAGACGCTCTTTCTGTCCTACTGTTAGTGGGACATAGACGAAATGAAGCATGACTGCGTTAGCCGCGCGCTGACTGGCTAATTTCTGATCCAATCAGCGCCTGATCGACTCTTGGAAAACAGGGTGGAAAATTCTCTTGTTAGCTGCACTCTGATTGACTAAATCTAATCCAGTCGATCACGTGAATTACTATCCATAAGCTTCTCATGTAAATACTATAAAGAAACTAACGTTGTATCTATTTGGCCTTCGGCTTCTTATTTCCATTTAAGCTTGCTATTTGGAATATAATCTTTTCCTGATCCACCGTATTTTTGATTCTTTGGAACCTGTCCAGTGTATTGTGGTCAGAGAATACTAAGCAATAGGAATTAGCTGGGAATCATCTAAGCAAACGTTACAACACCTACTCTCGAGTCCGGAAGTTGATAGCCGATCTCCGTTATTTTTATTAAATTGACTCGGCTTATATTTAGACATGCCAGACCACATCACATCATTCAATAAAAAAATAACAGTTATGAATATACTAACCAGGTGACTGTGTAGGGGAGACTATAAATCATAAGATGGCAAAAAATACGAAAATTAAGTGGTACGATAGTAGTTTATATGTTAAACGAAAGCTTATGATGAACGGAGTATATGCACATATATGATAGTTTAGTTAACTTAATAATTATACAACAAAACTATATGGAATAATAATAATAGTCCATAAGTTAATTATGAGAGTTACCATTCTTCGTTCTCGTATAAGATTATATTGATATAATGCAACTTACTTATTAGGTGAAGTTTTATCTAATCACTTTTTAGCTACTTAGTGTGTACATGATAACTGGTGATACCATCGGGCTGCCAAAATAGAAGTAGATATTCAGTTGTTGTCTCTTTTCGACACTTCACTCGACCATTGCCCCTAAATCATAACACGGCCTGTGCAGGAACGTAATCATATTCCAAACAGAGCACTAAGTTAAACTAAGCCAATACAGTACGAAAATATTAACATGTGTATAATTTTTGTACAAGAAAGTTCTTAGTCTTCTTCGATTCAACCGAATTGTGTCTGGAACATACTGTAATCAAATCTATCTCACTAACAGGAAGTGTTTGGAAATCTTATCATTTTAGTCTGCAATTACATTGTCACATAATTTCGAGGACTTATTAACCCTGTATCACAGAACCCCATAAAATTTCATATAGTTATTGAAACTTTTCTACCCGTTGTTTCAATTTTAATATTCAAAATTGTGTTTTAAATGCGTCTATGTAGTATTATGTACATTTTGTCTTTACAACTATTCGATACAATTGACATCAAATGGCAACTATGTATACACCTGGTATAGAATAATAGATCATAAATATACAGCATAATATTCTGATGCTAAAATAATTCTGAAAGTGTAATCGAATAATTAACCTAGTAGACAGCATATTAATTTGTTTCGGAAAAAAGCTAGTTACTGGTTTACTATTTGTGCTAATAGGTTTGTTTTAATTATCCATAATCTTCTACTTTACACAAATTTATCATAAAAGAAAGTTCTTGATAACCAACTTGCTGATATTTAGTTATTTAGTGATTATTCTTTTTCTTATTGAAGTACTGCCTTTACTGAAACTGTGTTGAGAAACTTTTTATCTTCATTGTTTTTATTTCCTTTTTTTCACATTCTATAAGTCATCGTATTGTACCTATGGGAAGCCAATCAAAAATGATCCAATTATCAATATCAAAAGAGTTTCCTCTCTATTATACTACAGGTGGTATGCGACTATTAAGCGCTGGCAAGTAAGTTGGTTGATATATATATATATATATATATATATATATATATATATATATATATATTGTACAGTATTTTTCCAGCACCACATACGGTTAATTTTGTCCTTACTATCAAACATAAACTCTCGTTCCTCACAGTACGTCTGATCAATGCTGAACGTTAATTGTCATATTGAGATTGCCAGCTACAATGAACAAATATAAACTGAAATTTTCGATTTATAATTTACAATTGTAAACTTTTTCGTTTTTTAAAGAGATTTTGAATGCTAATCTTCCATGGAATGCGAAAATTCTTACATACTCAATAATACCATTAGTAGTAGTAACAGTATTGTATTCGGACAGGTAATAATCCTAATATCTAGACACTATAATTCAGTTGACAAAATCAATGCACAGCGCAGGACCATAGAGTTGAAAAATTCTAGAAGTGTCACTGTGATTATTCTTCTTACGATGAAAAAGGAATCTGGTTAAAAAAGACCTTAATACACTACTGTTTAAGCACAAAGTAAACAGCCTTTAACGTATTTTATATGCAGTTTGGTACATATTGATTATATAAAGCTCCCAAATTGATGGATTGGTCGAACGTTTATTTCGTGATTTTCTAATCTGAGCCATTTGTGCCAGGACACGTGTTTTTCTTGGTCATGCTGGGCGCGTCAGTTACATAACTTTAAGGCTAAGAGCAGTAACAATTTAAGTCGTACTTACATGGCTCTTTTCCCCTTAAGCATTTAACATATTCAACAATACTACCTCAACAGAAAAAGGATGTTGAATAAAATCATGCTTAATCCAATCTAATCTTTAAGTACCTCAAGAAATTGTACATTCTACAATGTTGACAACCGGAAAATAATAAGAGCCATATCTCTAATAACACTCCAGTTCATTGCGTTTACATATATATGAGATTTAATCCCCTGAATAAGTATTAAAGTTTATCAATAAAATTAAAGGTACTCATAATAATTGTCACATAGTTGTCTGCCACTGTAAACGTTGTACGTTTGTATAGGCCCGTCTTGTAAAATTCTTCCCAATGACTATTAGCTATTTCCTAATTTTTTTATTTTCTCAGAACTCTAAGTATCTATCATTATTTACTTACTATCAAACTGTGAGAGCAAAACTATGTCAAGAATAATTTTTCCTAATTTATTATGAAGGTGATTTTTATTGTTGGTATAAAGAATTTCCAAAATAATTACTTTATTTTCTATTCCAACAATTTATTTAACCTTGATTATCTTCTTTTTATGATCTGAGGACTCGTAAACCTTGTGATAGTCGCACATTTTCAAATAAGTTATTGTTTTATTAGATATCTAATTTCTGTTTGTATAGAAAATCTTTTCCTTCTAAAAATATCAAGTCGTAAATGTCTAACTATTCTTGATTTTTATACTGTATATTATTGGACCCAGCAAGTTCTTTTATAGTGCAGTTTACTGTTTTTTTACAGGACAAACATATTGTTATTGTAACAGTTGAAATTTTTTTTGTAGTCAGAAGAATATAAATTACTTGTTTAAATTTGATATTGTATTATCCCATTTTTTAGCCATGAAATCCTTGTTCATATTATTCTAATGAACTGTTGTAAAAAAATACATTATTATGTATAATTAGAGTTTAAATTAGTGTAAAATAATTTTACAGATATTTTTCTTCATTTTTTTAACTAAATTATCGTGTTCGTTTTCTTTGTCTGTATGCTTGACATTGTGAAACAGATTTTCCGAATTTATTACATTACTCATCATTTAAATTAGTGAGGGATCAATGTAACATTTAAGAAGAAAGTATTATCGGCGAAATTATTATTGTTACAAGCAAGAAATTTTCTCACTCAAATAAATCTTCACAACAATTTTTTTGTCTTTTTTTTTTGTTAATCGTGTTCATTTAGCTAATTGTTTAAATAATTCCTGTCTGGAACTGACTTTATCATTAAAAAGCAGGAAAAACTAATTAGTTGATTCGTTTTATTTGAAAAAATTATTGCTAAAAATATCCATACACGAATTCATCAGGTATATCGCATCGAGCACTTTCAGATTTTGCTGGTAACACATATGTTGTCTAGTTCATATTGATTTTAAAATTTTTGTGGTTTTGAGTTTTTCCAACTAGATGTAGAAGTAGGCGCTAAATATGTTGTCCATAATGACAAGAAATTCTTAACAATTAGGCTATTTAGTTTGAGAAAAATCAACACCACAAGATAGCACCCGAATTTCTTGCACATATTTCAAACTCCAATACATCAGTAGTATAATTGGACGACCATCTATAATCTATTGGTTGTTGTATTTGTTTTATTTAATTTTGGAAATGTTAATGATTTATCTAATGTAAATAATTTTTTTCTTGTCTTTTATTTCTTTGAAACACACACACGCACACAGATTTGATACAGCTATGATAAATTTTTTAGATTGTTTAAATCAAGCTCAACAAATTATAGAGCACACATCCAATATACAACTACCTTTTCGTATTAAAGATAAAGGAAAGTTACAAGATCCTGATGGTCAAATTTATTCCATTAGGTAAAGTCTTTTTTTTCCCTAAAATATTTGCAATATTCACTTTTTAATTAATTTCGAATATTTGTATAAATGTTATTGATTGTGACGGCGTCAATAACCGTTTGTATTTACACATTTCATGTAATGCATAACATATAACAAAACTGGTAAAATGTGTTTTTGAACCTTGATCTAAATGTTTTGTAAAATTGGGTGTTTTAAAGTACTCAGTCAATATGGGGTTTATCGAATTGAAAACATTTAAGAAGAAAGTAATGAACATATTAAGTGAACCTTAATAATATTTTCATTGTGTTAATGTAGACTTGATAAGAATATTTACAGGTCAACAAATAGAAAGCAGCTGCATCCAGCTGAGCATTGAGATTTCGTTATCATTCGCAGGCCAAATTTATTGGATGTCATGTGCATTCTAGTGTAAAAACTGTAATTATACACATTACAGAATACTTCATAGGATTTTCTTTTGAACATATTGCTTGTTTGGTATAGCTGTTCAATTGTGTGCATTAAGATAAATTAAAAAAAACGATGCTACTAACTAAAACATCATCTAGTGAGACTACCATAAAACTTGTGCTTAAAGATCTGCGCAAATATCAAAAGAAGATTAAACGTTCAAAATTCAACCGAATTGAAATTAATTTATCCAAAACAAGAAAATAACTTGTAAAGAGTACAAAATCACCATCTGTTTAAAATGAAATAACTTGGTTTAGTTTTATTTTGTAATCAATCATGCGCATCAGCTACTTTCAGCTTGTAATATTTCAATATTAAGAATTACGCATTAATTATAGTACATTTTATAGAAACAAATTTGCTCAAAGTTTTCTTTGATGTAATCCACATAGCGAATATCTGAATGACGTTAGAAAGAAAATGCTCAACCGAGTGTTGCAAATCGATAAAATTTTCAGCATTAGGTTCTACTTCATCAATTAGTACACACCATTGAAGGATGACATAACTGACTTTCAATGATTGTTACGTAACTACTAAATCGACAGCTGAACCCCGGGTTGATGAATATAACAAATTATCAAATCAAATAAACTCAGTTCGTTAGTGCAGCACATTGAACTACAAGATGGATGACTGTTTGTTTAAAAGAAAAACAGCAATCACCTTTCTAGTGTTCGAATAGGTATAGTACTTACTTACTTCTGGTTAGCGATTTTTGGCAAGTTAGTTTTCTGACGGGATGGGGTCGCCAACCCCATGCCCAACCCTCCTCCTTTATCCGTGCTTGGGACCGGCAATAGCCCCGAAGGGTCTACAGGCTGAGTTGAATAGGTGTAGTATTCATATATTAAATAAAATCCGATTGTTTTTGGTTGAATTAATATGACTTCAAAGTTTTCATTTAATATGAATAAAATGTCTAGAAATCCCACTATTATTGAATGCTCTCATTCTCTTTGAATGAATTCACTAGCGAGTATATTTGTTCATTAAAATAAAGCTAATTTATTTGTACTTTAAAAAAAAAATTTTTTTAAACATTATTTGCCTTAAGATGGAATGGAAATTCTGAAGAAAATTGGACTAAAACTTTAAAAATGATGCTTATCAATATGAAATGGATTATAGCTGCATTAGCTACCAAAAAGAATAAAAAACCAACAATGAATATCCAGTCAACTCCCAGTACTTCTGATAAATAATATGTCTGTATGTATGTGTGTTTGTCTGTGTAAGCAAGAAACTTAGTAAAATGTTACTTGTATATTATATGACTGTAAAATGTTACTTGTATATTATATGACTGTAATGGTAAATAATTCATTTTGATAAATATTGAATTGTCTTTCAAAATAATTTGTAATTTGCCTAATAATTGTTACATAGTAGATCAATAAATGGTTATTATTCAACTCCTATTTTTCATCACTAATGATGGATTAATTAAGAATTTTTTTTAGAAAAAAAATACCTATGTATATAATCATTTTATTGTCTTATTGTAACATTTTGCCTATCAACCATTTTGATTGATTGATTGATTATCAATACTTTACTTTGGAATCGACTCATGTATTTACTGTTAAGAATTGACTTGCTTAATTAAAATAAAAGCTTTTGAGCAAATAGAAATGTCATTTTTTTTAAAAGACCGTCTTTAATATCTGATTTGAGTATTTTGTATATGTTATTTTTAACAAATTATCTCTTTATTAATAAATTATATACTTTTAAAGCTGTGCTTTAATTTTATAAATGAAAAGTTAAATGAATTGTTGGTTATTGGATATACGCTTATCTGACAGCATTTTATCATTATACACTGATATATTTTGTAGTACAACTAAAGTTATTTAACCTGCAAACACTATTTGAAACTTGTTGGAAATAGATATAATGACAATCAGTGTTTGTAATGCACACACTCGAAATGCAAAATGTTGCTTCAAGATTGGGTTGCTTCGATACCTGAATTAGTGGTAGGTAGTGAAGTAGTCGAATGTGGAGACCGCTTCACTTATCTGGGGAGTTTCATCACTGCTGATGGCCTGGTGACTGACGAAGTCTCAGCACGGATACAGAAAGCTCGATTGGCTTTTGCCAAGTTGCGTCACGTATGGCGTAGGCGAGATATCCGTCTGCTAAACAAAGGAAGAGTGTACTGCGCAGTAGGTCGATCTGTCCTACCATATGGATACGAAACATGGCCTTTGAGAGTAGAGAACATTCGTAGATTGCTTGTGTTCGATCGTAGGTGTCTTCGAAGCATTACTCGTATATCCTGAGACAACCGAGTAAGCTATGCTGTCGTTAGGAAACGAGTACTAGGTAGGGATGACAGATCAATAAATGAAGTTTTGAAACTTCGTCAGTTGAGGTGGTTGGGGCATGTTCTACGTTTGCCTGATCGTCGACTGCCGACGAGCTATGTTTTGCGACGCAAGAATAGGTTAGAAGAAAGCTAGCGGCGACCAGACCAAGACCTGGCAAGTCACTCACAACCTCATTGAGCGACGTTAGTAGCTGTAGACTACCTCGTTGGGGTCCTCGAGACGAAGTTCACCGATGGTTAGAGACTCTGAAAGACATGGCTCAGAATCATTTGCAACGGTGTAGGTGCATTCAATCTTTGTGTTCTCTCAAATTCTAACCTTCGGAGTTCCTCATCACCTTTTTCTTTTTAAGTTTCTTTGACTAGATTCTACTTGTTGAATAATAACATCGAACCCTAATTTCTCCGATTACTGCTAATACTTCTACTGTCTCAAGTACTATGGGATTTGAAGCGACAGTTGCATCACTGTGCTGATGCTGTATGCCAACTTGAACTAATGTACATACGTACGAAGTTCTACGTTTCTGCTGATTTATTGGGTGTAGGTAATACTGAAAAATCTTTTTAAGAAATCACTAGTTTCATGTCATTCATTGTAATTAGATTTATCATTGAGTTAAAACTACTCTCTAAGTTACCTTAATCTCCTTTTCATTATTACATCTATATCATTACCAAAATATTGGACTAAAGGGAAATTCTTATTTTAAATTGAATTTCATTGCTGGCTCTTCGTTCATGAATGCTACTCACCTGTTATTTTCACATTTAAAATTTCGAAATATGTTAGTGGCAAAAATATCACGATTGACCGCTAGACATAATGGGATTAATGTGGAAAATCAATGAGAAAATCATGCTAAGATTTGGATAATAAAAATATCATGAAGCGTTTTCAAGTGTAAAAATTATGCGTGACTTTGAATTGTTCTGTTTCCTTCAAATAGCCAGAATTCAGTACACATCTAACCGAAGAAAGCATGCGTACTTGTAGTTTGCTTAGAAGTAATGTGTTTATACGGTGTGTACTTAGATAATTTTGTATTTTGATATATGTAGATGACCTTGAAAAATGGAATCCAAAGCTCATGTGATTATAGTAGTTACAATGTTATGTTAAGTTAAGTCGATTCGATCAAAAAAGTCTACATGACCTATTATAAATTAGAATGTGAAATAAACCGTCTACTGGTGAGAAGATAATCAATAACCTGCCTGTGTTGCGAATGGAGATCTGAAGATTATGTGTACACATTTTATAAATGAACAGTCTTCTCAAAAAATGTGTGTTCCATCTGGTCTAGATATTTTTATACATAACAATTATCCTACGACTCCATAAATCAGATCTAGGTTGGGCCACATTATACACAAATACGCATTTTACGACCGTTGTTTCAGAACCACCTAGCAGATCGGGCAATAGTTTATGTAACACCAATAAAAGCAATATATTCAAAATAGAGTTCAGAATCAAGGAAAATAATTTTTTGCGTCTGTGTCAAATTCGAAGTAGGTCTCACCAATTTAGGGGCCCAAAGCTTGACTCCAGTTGGACGAATGATCGAGTATGCGAGGAAATAAATCTTCTTTTCCATTTCCGTATATCATACTTGAGCAAACCCCGTTTATGCGGCGGCGTTAATAAGAAGCCAAATACGGTTTCGCAGATGAATTCATTTCATGCATTCATTTAGGCAGACAGACATAAAAGCATACAAGCAAATTGAGGAAGGAGAGTAAACCAACTCTCATGCGTTTAGGCATGACTGAGTATCTATAGTCGGGCAATAATAAGCTAGACATGTAATAAGCGAGTAAGCATTCACATACATAATCAAGTACACGATGGCCATTAAAGTTAGTATAATAAATAAATGATGTGCTACAAACTCACAATATTGATGTTACGACATTTAGCAAAGTTGAATGTTTATCTTTCGCTCCCTAGTTAGTCACATCTTAAATTACCTGGTGATAGATCAAGATTATATCAAATATGAACAGATTTATTCCCAATAGTATAAACTTTATGGGATTCCAACAGGGTTCAGTTCATGTTTCAGTCTAAGAGATAAACAATTTGACATTTAAAGGGTGTGAGACCATACAAACAATCGTTAAATGAGCGACAAGAACTCATACATCTCAAAAGCATATGAAGAGGCTGAAATCGGTGTACATACAATGGGACTATCCTCATGCTTAACAAGAGTATTTTGCAGATCGTGTCGATAGAATGAGAAAAGAAGACAGGACAGCTCCTTGTTGTACATTCTTTTGATTCAGAAAAGAAGTTGAACACTTTTCTTTGAGCACATACTATTCTCTTTCACAGAAGTCATAAAAACAGCCGATTGGCGGCTATTCAGCTATCGGCGTTGAGACTAGCAAAGTTTAGTAGGAGTGAGCTTGGAATAAAATCAAACACAGAAGAATAGTCTACAAATCTCCTCAACACTCTATTACGATTCAGAATAATAGGAGCATCTAAAGTATTTGTTTGGTACATGTAAGCTCCCACTTGTCTACGTTTTGTATGACACTAAGGGAGTATGTGATAGTTAAATGCACTATATATATATATATATATTTCTATGATGGATAACATTGCAAAATCGTGCAGAAGAACAGCTGACAGACTTGTTCGAGGTGAAGACCAGTGTCAGGCAGGGTTGCTTACTATCACCTTGAAGGAGCCACAAACGTAGCGTACTAAAGTAATACATCAACCAATGACAGCCGAAGATTTTTCGAGGGGGAAATGTGATCTCAAGGTCAACTGAGCAGCCCATGGGCGAAAACACAAAATCCAAAATTAGGACATTTTCCAAGTGAATTCTGGGGATCTAACGTCTCCAACACTTTCACCTGGTGATCGACTAGGTTATGAAGACATCAACATCTGGAGGGAAGCATGGGATACAATGGATAGCTAGGATGCAGTTGGACGATCTGAACTTCCAGATGACCTCGCTCTTCTATCTCACACGTAACAACAAATGCAATAGAAGATGACCAGTGTAGCAGAAGCAGGTCTCAACATACGTCGAAGAAAAACAAGATTCTTCGATACAACACAACAGGCGCAAACCAAATCATTCTTGATGGAGATGCCTTGGAGGACGTAAAAAACTTTACATATCTTGGTAGTCTCATTGACAATGAAGGTGGATCCGATGCATATGTGAGGGCGCGGATCGGCAAAGCAAGGGCTGCATTTCTACAGTTGAAAAATAACTGGAACCCCAAACAACTTTCAACCAAAATCAGGATTTTCAATACAAATGTCAAGACAGTTCTACTGTATGGAGCGGAAACTTGGAAAACTACCAAAACTATCATCCTAAAATTAAAAGTGTTTCTTAACAGTTGTCTACGCACAATACTTCGGATCCGTTGGCCAGACATGATCAGCAACAACGTACTGTGGGAGAGAACAAACCAGATTCCAGCACAGGATGAGATCAGGAAGAAGCGGTGGGAGTGGATAGGACACACTGCGGAAAGCACCTAACTGCGTCACAAGAAAAGCCCTCACTTGGAACACTCAAGGTCAAAGTTAAAGAGGAAGGCATAGGAACCCATTACGACGAGAAATGGAGACAGACATGAGAAGAATGAACAGCGATTGGACAGAACTGGAAGGAGAAGCCCAGGACAGAGTAGGCTGAAGAATACTGATCGGCGGCCTATGCTTCGTTAGGAGTAACCGGCGTAAGTAATTAAGTAATTATGACTGTCTGTTAATATTGATGAATTATTGGATGAATAGAAATCAAGTATTATTAGTATTCTTGCTCTCATTGTGTTGTTTGTTAATGAATCCTATGGGGCTATATATATCACTGAAGGCAAAATATAAATCAATATAAAGGTTTTTATAATCCATTGTCAGTTACATCAGAATTTTAACAGAACATAACCTTAAATCATCATTATGCATGACTGTATTCAACTTAAATGATTAGAAAAAAGAACATTAGAATAGATTGTTTTAATTAATGAAATTAGTTTACTTAAAATTCATTGTATGAATATAAATTAGTCACTTACAAATTCAATTATTATTGTAACAGTACTGATGGTTAGTATAGTCAGATAGGGAAGCAAGCTAAAGTGTGTAGTAGAATAAATACAATTAATAAGTATGATTTTCTCTTTTTATGTTAATTTATCAAGAATATGTTTAAAACAACACGTGAAATAGAACGACATAATAAAGAGAGTGTGAGAGAAAAAAAATGCTTATCGTGACCATTTGAATATTCGGGTGAAATCGTTCTTTTTTTTATGGTCTGATTGCAGTATATTATGTATAATGTAAATAGATTGATTGATGAATATATAAATGTATGTGTATATAATCTAAGTTATATTTTAAGAAAAAAAAGAATCTGAATATTATTATACTAACGCTAATTATTGTTAACAATAGCTATAAGAATACAGAAAAGATTGAGAATAAAATGCTTGAAATGAAAAAATAAAATAAAATACAATACAACAGGAGAATAAACAGAAAACATTTACACAAATAAATCACGATATAGTGTACTGGAAGACAAATATTTCTCCAATAATGAATAAATCTAAAATAAATTGAAGATACAAGAGGTTTTCTGAGAGAGAGAGAGAGAGAGCGCGCGCACACACACACACACATACATATCAACATTCACAGGCAGAAATGAATCACAACTAATGAATGATGGAAAAAAAAATTATGAACAGAGGTGTTTTATGTTTTAAGCAAATGTATACTATCACCGGATGTCATATTATTGATTTAGGATAGGAATTATAGAGACATTTATGAATATGTTGCGGCGTGTGTGCACTTATTTACTATGAGAAAAAAAACATCCTTTGAAAGAAAAGCAACAAAGAGTTGGGTTGAAAGTGGACAACGAGACACATACATACCAGACTATAGACAATTATTCCACTATTGAAATGCATGATTATTGGCAAAATCAAAAAATTAAGATAGAAGGAACACATGATATCATCTTACTAATAATAATTAATAATAATGCATGATACCAATAAGAATTCAGCTGTATTTTCTTTGATCCCAGTGAATAAATTAGTATCTTACATAGGCAGTAATAAGAGCCAAAAAATTGTCATTAATTAAAGTAAAATAATGATGATGATGATGATAATAATTTAAACAATTGTACCAGGCCAAGAAATCACTTGTAAAACGACATCTCCTGATGCCTGTTTCAATAAACGAACTGCCGATGAATGACGAATATTAAGCATGGATATGTTATTCACAGCTAGGATTAGATCACCACATCTAATTTAGAAGAGAAAATTAATCAAATTAATTATGAGCAGTAATTTTGATTATAAACTTTTAAATTAATTTATAATCTTTTTTTTGTGGAAAATATACTGTTCTCTTATCCTAACTGAACTTCATCTCTCTTATATAATCCGATAATAACATATACACATACATTTTTAGCTTTCTAACAGAAGTTTTCGTAATTGGTTCGAAAATAAATCTGAAACTGTTATTTGTTTGGATTTTTTGAACGATTTTACGGGTGACAAATGAATTGTGATAATGCAATAATGACAGAATAATATCTGTTAAAGAAACCTAAGAAGTCGATGAAGATCAATGGCTGAGAAGGAATAGACTTTAGATCGAATAAAATAAAATGTTCAACACATGCAGATATTACCACGAAAAAAAACATCACATGGTGTTACAAATGATTGGAAAATGTCGATTTTGAAGGCCTTTCACTTTCTAATGCACTAAGGCCTTGTCCAATACATCAGAAACTAACCCATTCGCCCTATTAAACAAAGATATCTGGCAACCACATTGTAACACCTTCTTTTCTGTGTATGTATTCAAAAATATGGCTTCACTTCTATTAGGAAAGAGACAGTAGTCACCGATAAAATTGAAAGATTATCACTTGTTTTTGACGAAGAATAGAGTACCATTTTCAACTTTAGTTTAGAAGTTTCTATGTTCTTGACTGAGACCTAAACGCCTTGAGTTAGATCTATCGTATAATTGTGATGGTTTTGTAAGGTTAAGTTCCAAACAAAACGTAAACAGTTATCTTTAGATGCTTGATTTTCAATAAGTTCTTTAGCTGGTAACAGTCTGTTATGAAAATATCTAGTCGACAGCTTCTTTGACAAGTAGACATTGCTATCTCGTTAAGATTATCATCTGAATTCTGTAGAACAAGCACATGATTTAGTTCATTGAATGAAACGAATATTCAGTTGTACTAGAAGATATATTTGATAATTTTTGTACAAAATAAAATGAAAATTTTGGTTGGACATAAACAGTACACGTTAACATTCATCAAGAAAAGGTGATCGCAACTTATACTACACCAGGGACTGTTAGATTTAGTTCATTCGGTGTCACTATATCTCATAAGTACACATAGTTTTTAGTTAAGAATAAACGTTATGCTATTATGGATTGATTGATCAAAGAAAAATAAACAAATTATACTGCGAAATTCCATCATTACTGTTCTTAACTGTTCTTTTGTAAAACAATTTGTTGAGTTTAATCACTAACTATGTTGAATAATATTATGTAAACAATCAACTGAGCAAAGTATTACTTTATGCAATCAATCATCGATTAATAAAGTAAGAAAAAAAAACAAGCAAATAACAGAACTGGAAGTGATTTTTAAAGCTGGATATTCCTAAATGAAACTTAGTTTTATACAACTGAATTACACTCATTGAATCGCAAGGTTGAACTCTAGTGCTATAGATTGAACAATTAGTTAGTAAAACAGGTAATAACTAGAAGAGACCTTTCATTATTGTAATTCATTCACCCAGTAGAGGATTACGTACTCGTTCACTCGATATCATAAGTTAAAATAGGTATCACAGTGGATGAACGTACAATTACATGGTCGAAAGTCAAATGTTTAATCCAATGAGTCGTCACTTCATTTGATATAAATCCAATTGTTTGAAGTGAATTGAATTTCACAATGAAATGAAATAATAAAACATACTTACTTTAATCGACCGTCTTTATGGGCTAGAAGACCAGGAACTATAGATTTTATCACAATTGGAGAGGGATATAGATTTGAGTAACCCAATTTAGTGGATACTTTTGGAGATAATTTGCTAGATTTTTCATCTGAACTATTTGAATTCACTTGAACTGTTGCAGTTTGTTCATGTCCTAGACCACCAACAATACTAAAACCAAGCGGTTGAGAGATAGAGCCATCATTATAACTAGGAGTACTGGTTTCTCTTCGAAGGAGTATAACTCGAGCAAGTTGACATACTGGCGGTAATCGAAGCCAATATGTCCAAGATGGCATGAAATTCTCCGGACCTTCACTTGTCTCAGGAGCAGTAATCAAACGTAGTTGTACATGTGTTTGCATTGAACTAATTCGTCTAAGAACTTCCACAGCTTCATGATGAGTTAGACCAACTAAACCTACACCATTTATTTCCAGCAAAATATCACCTCGTTGAACCTAAACCAAATGGAAATCAATTAGAAGAATCAACAGATATTTATGTAGTTCAAACAAATAGCAATAGTTTTAGTATATTTGGATTATGATAACCGATGAAATCCAAGATACACAGCGCGCTATACCTACAAACTAATTACTGACGTTCATCACATTGAGACTAATATAGTGCTTAACGATTAAAACGCCTAATACGTTCTCGACTGAAATATTTAGTTCATTTAGCCACTTACTCTGTTCAGTATGTGAATAATAAACAGAGAGTGAATAAAGTCAATTCTGAATAATTATGTAATAGTTTGTGGCATAGTAGATAAAACAAAATGAAGTACAGGTTTTTTTTTCCAAAAATGTAATTCGAGGGAAAAAAAGAAAACTCAAGTTATTTAATAATTCATTTTAAAAACAGTGGAATCACTGATTTAAACTAAGTTAGATTATGAGATACTGAAATCCAGAAACAAGTGCTCATAAAAACACACATTCTCACAGTGACTTCCACTCTATTGACGCCGAAAATGAGTTCACTGAAATCTATCTGGTATTACATTATATTATTATATAAACAAAATACCTTAATTACTAAGTAAACCTTATCTATATCAGATAACACTTTATTTATTAATAATATTCATATTTCACTATTATCAATTCAACAGGAAATTCCAGTTGAAGCATGTTTCTCTTTTTAATTGATAATAAAAACTGTCCGCATTTGATGCAAACTTTAAAATGCACAGTTCTGTCGTACTATCATCAAATGAAGATAAGTAGTCAAACTATGTTCATTACTGTACATTAAATGATCTTATCATAAACGAAAATGTCCTTTGGTTTATCAATTTTGATTTTCTATAATTTAATCAGGTCACATTAAAAAAATAGGTTTTTCCTTATAGCATAATTTCTTAAAAACTCAGCACAATAAAACAATAGTGTTCGAAATCATAATAATACTTAAGAAACAGTTTAATTTTTAAAAAAATACACACAATCAGATGATTCAAAAAAAATTTCTTGTTACAAAAAACGAGCACAACAAAAGTGCAATCATAACAATTGTCAAATAGGAAAGTGAACTTTTGAACTAATAGGTTTTTCAAGTGAAAAATTAGGAAAAGAAAAGACACACATACAGGAATACTAGTAAGGAAAATTAATTGAAGTTGGCCGAAGTTTTATGTAAGAAATGAATAAACAGAAAGAAGTAGTTTAGAAGAATTCCAGTGGAAAAAGCAGGAGATCACGTGAACTGATCAATGATTTACCCGTGATTAGGATATATATATATATATATATATATATATATATATATATATATATATAGAAACCAATCCAGAAAAGGCAGATATTTTGAAGAAACCAATTATCGATTCACATGATCATAATTATAATGTAAACCCAAGGTACAAGTCAATAATTAAGTATGAAAAAATTAAAGGAAAAGAGAAAGAACTAGTAAGGATACATTTGTCGTTATTTAAACTAAGTGATAGAAATGTTTGTTAGTCACTAGAAAAAAATAGAATATGGTAAAATAATTAAAGTATTTATTCTTCTTTTAAATCTAAAATGATGAATTTCAGTTGGTATCCATTTAATTAATTAATTACATAGGGTATAATAACATTGAATTGAAACTGATGCTAAAACATGTTTTGAAGATTTAATACAGAGATTTAGTTAGACTTCGGGTTTTTTGGAAACATTTGAAATTTATACAAGCAATATGAAATGATAAATAACTCTTAGGTTTCTGTTCATACATTTCCCAACTAAAGAATACATTATATTAGAAAAAAAAATTACATGATGAAATAAATTGTTTCAGCGAAAGTCCGGTTAAGTTAAGGGAAAATAGATAAGATGGTCATTCATTCACTCATTAATTCTGACTAAATCTCAAACGTTAAATACTAAAACGAGTAAAACCGCTAAAATGTGATTTGAAAAAAGCAAAACATTTTTAACCACTCACTATAAGGCAATGCCAACCAACTACTATCTTCTTAGGATTTTATATAAACTACTAGAAACAGGTATATTTTTGTATGGGTTTAATGTGATCAGTGTGAAAAATGTTAAAACAAAATATATTGAATGCTCATTTACCGATTTTGATCGACCCAGCACACACTCCGAACTAATATTTGTTACATACACAGGTGTATCTCCACGTTGTGAATGACGTCCTCCAGCAATTGATATACCCAAGGGTTCTTCCGGACTTTTGTTTACAACAATAGTCCTTTCTTGACATGATGATCCAACTGAAGTTGACTAGATATCGAAATATGAACGAGAAAAATAAATGAAAAAATGTATGGTATTTCATAGTAAGAAAGAATACGATATTGAGAAAAAGATTACGATTAAGTTAGTTTATGTTAGATTTTCTTCTCGGCACAAAAAGTTGGAAGAAGAATTAACATACTAAACGAACTGGCAATGAAGTATAAATTGAAATATGATGCGATGATGCAGTTGATGTTCTCATCATAGATTGAAACAAGGTTAGAAGTAACAACAGAGGAAATACATGATTATTATTAATAATAATAACAATTTGCATTATAGGATTGTGAAGATCGTTGTTTTACATTCAAACTGTCACTTAGTCATTGTTAGACCACCATTGGAAACCTGGCAACACTGAATGGCCGTGTCGTTCCGGTAAAGGACTCATCAGCAGTGCGCACCCATGACTCAGGCTACCCGCAGTATTCGAACCCAGGACCTCAGGTCTTGCTCGTGAATGCCTAACCTCTGGACCACTGAACCGGCATTTAACTGTGTTAATTTTTAACGCTGACTAATCTAAGGGGTTTGCGCAACCTCACCCATAGTCTTCAGTACTTACTGACCACACCATAGAGGGTTGAACTCCATCGGTCACGTCTTTTCACTAGAACTAGTATGATGATGATTTCCATAATACAATAATGCCCTATCAAAAGATGTGCTCACTAGTGACTAGCTTCATGAGTACTAGTGAGATGTGACCAGCAGCTCCGTTCTTTTTAAAAGCAGCTACCGCCGGAGACGGAAATCCATGAGGTACGGTGAGGTGTAATATTTTTAAGGTTGAACTTTTCTAACCCTTCCTTCCTTCCTTGTGAGAAGGCAACATTACTTCAGATGCTGGTTGTCCGAGGGAAACACTTTACTGCTGTCACACCTCTTTACAGTCAGCAGTACGACTTCGCCCTCAGACCTTGAGTAGCTGTTTTTAGTTTCATCATTCTCCAATCGACGTGCCTGGCACAGAAGAACCTTCAGGAACATATGTTCCAGACAATATAGCTCGGTTGGGTCATCATGATAGGCAGGATCGACCACCACGTCAAGGTAACAGCTACGGTTGGGACACTCATAAAGTAGAACGGAGCGAACTGCTGCGCAGTAAACTCGTTCTTTAGTTGACAGATAGACATTTCGCCTACACCACAAGTGACGCAAGTCGGCAAAAGCCAAGTGAGCCGTCCGAATATGTGCCGGGATTTTATCTGATGTGAAAATAGCCCAGTTTTCTTCAACTAATATTTTGAACACTGTACCAACCAAACTGATTAATCTGTGATTGTTAAAAGAAAATGTTTGTATTTTCCTAAAGACTGGGACGATTAGAGATTGGGACCAGTTATATAAGATTGTTCAAGTTCCTAGGTTCTAGCTAAGATCTCAGTCGATGGGACTACCAAAACTGAACCACCATCCAAAAAGATTTGTGGAGCTAATCAATCAGGCCTTACTGCACTGCCTCGCTTAAAATTTTCTATAACCTTTACAAATTCACTCAGAGTTAAAAGACATCAGTTAGCCGTCATTTTCTGTTTATCTCTTTACCTATCGCAACAGATTTCCTATAAACTTACTAACCAGAATTAGCCTAATCATACCTATTTTTTATACGCAAAATGCTAACCGATCATAGAAGAGGAAGCGCTGGGATGATAAGTACACGAAAAGAAAGCAAAACCTGATACTCATCGATCGATAAATTAACGTCAACTAGAGTAAACAGAAAAGGCTTTAGAATTATTTTGGTTTCAATCAAATAAGTATTTAATTGGATTCAACTAGTTTAAAATTTCCGAAAACACTTTGAAGATACCTGGGAATCAAGGAGCACTAGTTATTCCTATTCTGAAAATGAAAAAATTTTTAGTTATCACTGTTTTCATCATTCAACAAAGAGAGAAACCAGAACATTTAAATGTCGTGTAAACTATTTAGGCATTACTTAGTCATAGATGAAGTTGTATTTGACATTTCGACTCCCTAACAGAGATTTCTTTTCATACCAAGTATGTACGGATATACTGGATGAAGCTGTATAGATAGCTTCTTATTTAAAAATCGTACGGTAATTGATAAACAAGTGTGGGGGAGCTATTTTAAATAACTGGATTATTCATCTAGCGAGGTTTAATTTACCAAAAGTTTGTCTACGTCATTTCGGCCAAATATATGTAAGTTATTCAGTCCTCAGGCATAAAACCTCTCATGTAGTAGTTTTATCTCCCCGCGTAGTTGAGTGTGTGATTGTGCATCAGTGACTGAGGCACACAGCAGAACAAACCATTTCAACATTATAAAAGGAGAATAAGTGGTCAGTTGCAAGGAAAAACATCAAAAACTTACAACCAACTGTTTGTCATTGTTTTGAGTACGTGAACTATTTGAAGTAGCTAAATCTACAGAATTAGAACGATGTGTCAACTCGTTACAACAGTGATTCACTTTTTCCAGTCGATGATCCGCTTCAGTTGTTGGTGATGAAAGATTTAAACCGGTTGACTTTTGTTCATTTGAAGAATGAATTACTTCTGTATTCGAATGAGCAATAGTATTAGATAGATTTGTGTCTCGATCGTCTAAACTTGACCATGCCAAATTATGGGTTGAGTTTGATGATTCGCGATTACTATTACCAGTATTATTATTATTAATATTCTGTTGACGTTGATTATCAGAACCGAGCCGTAATGATTCCAATGCTAACAAGCTATTATCTGACTTCTCTTCTGAATCTGTTGTGGTTCTTAAAATATCCGGTGTATCAGATCGATTTCGGCGACTTATTTTAAAAATTACATAATCCGAAACCGACTAAAACAAGAGATGAAAAATAAAATAACAAGAAAAAGTAAATTGTCAACATAGAAAATAGTATTTTTTTTTTTAGTTGAATAGAATCAATGTGATTAAAAAAATATTAAAAGCATGCAAAAATTTATGGTGTAAATTATAGTGATTATGTCAGCCCACATGTTTACTCTAGATGTGAAGTTGGAAATTTTTACACATTACAAGACAGAGCGTAACTTCAATAGAAAAATGTTTCTGAAACTTTTAGCCAATTGGAAAGTGGGGTCATTATTTGAAAACTGTTAGTATTTCAGGTCATTAGACAACACCGGTAGTTTATATCTCAGTATATGATGGGGGAAATAGTTATTTTAAAACGACTACTGTAAAAACCAAACCACCTGAACAGTTATTTAACTGGCAGCTTGTATAGTATGATGTAAACTTGTCATAGTAAATCTGGAATGAGTAAATTCGGTTTATGGTTTGAATAAACTTGGATGAAATTCACAAAACTCATTCTTCTCAGAGACCAAAACTTCATGAGTATTGATTGAATGACAGGGAGATTTTTACATCGTTAATAAAGATGGAAGGATAACAAATTCAACAAGAAGAACTATATCCGTAGATTTATTTTATGAAATGATGGTTTTTAGTTCAAGTAAATGATTTTTCGCAGTAGACTATGATGATGCACAGGACGATCAAGAAAGTTATGCGATCAAACAATTCAGTTCAGATGATATAAAACAGGAAAAAACTACCTATTCATTGGTCATCTATGAGAATCCATTGTTTTGTCCGAGTGTAAACCGCTAATGATAATCTTTGAATTTATCAGTAGAATCTCCACTGATTACCATGTTTAAGAGATTCATTACTAACATGATAGTATTCCATCCAGTTTATCTTTTACGTATCGCTATATGATGTTAAACGTAGAGGTGAAGTTTATCCTATTTCCTGTGTATTTGTGTAGGGTTCGTCACTAGGTACGCTTGAAGCTATTACGAGTTCACCTTAGTCGATAAACGCGAACGAGACAATGAACCAGTGTCCAGATAGGCTACCTTGATCCGAAACGGCTGAAAGAAGTCTTGATATAGCGTAGAAAGTATGTTCTACAAACATCCAGCAATCACAATACAATCAAGCACACAACTCTCGTTTATTTACACATCACAGAAACGTTCTTGGGACAGTTACGAAAATAGAACACTAAAATACACAGTAGCCAATCACAGCCATGGATTTTCCTGGTGGGAAATTAAATCTCAAGGTCAACTGATCGGCCCATGCTGGCAAACGTAAAATCCAAAATAAGGCATTTAACAAGCGAGTTCTGGGGATCTAACATCCCCAACAATTTGGATAAAATTTGTTGATCATATTATAGCATTATAGAAGGGAAGGACAGTAAATAAACGTTTATTTTATTCATTCGGTTGAAATTCAAGCGATGGGTACAAGAATTTATATGTATATAAGACGATATTTGTGCATCATTAAAATAGATTTTAATCTCATGGACTATAATTTAATTTAGTGCTCTGTATATTCAATGAAGAAGACATGTATACAAATTCATTCTAATAAAATTTTAAACAATAAGTGTACTATCAGAAAAATATTGAAATTATTTGTACGGATATCAGCTGGCTTTAAATCTATTCAATGTAATCTCTGTTATTAGTGCAGGGTTTGTTAAATAACACTGAAAGAATTGTCCTTGGCCAGATTACTTGCAGAGATAAAGGGAGATCGACAAAAATGATAGTCTATGATGAAAAATGATAAAACTGACCAAACTATTTTTGAGACACTTGACGTATATACCTGACTAAAAGTTCTTACAAATAATTATAAAGGCTAATATTTTCGAATTTGATCAGTCCCTGTTAGCATAAGAGGATCTTCTCAACGAATGTCTCGGTGAAACCAGCAGTTACAAGTTTACTATATTTTAGACAATATTTTTTGGTGACTATGTCCGAAGTGAGATGAGAAAAAAGTTCTAGATTTAACTGTTAGTCAATATTTACAACAAAATGTCGATTAATCTGTATACACTTTTTGAATAATATTGACATCATGAGAGACAGTATTTTGGAAATCAAAACCGGATACAGTACACGAAGTATATCAATTTTAGAATTATTAGTTGACTATTTTTTTTATCTCGTCATGATTCCATATTAATCCGTCTATTCAAAACATGTTAGTTTGCAAACGTACACACATGCGTGCATGAAAAGTAAGTTTGGATATATTGTCAAACAGTAATGAGTAATAATAAATAATAATAATAATAGTAATAATAATAATAAACCTCAAAAAAGCACACTGTAATTGTACATACATTGATTATTTGAGCTGCCTGTTCTTGTGTTCCATTTTCTAAATCAATCCCATTAATTTCTAATATACGATCATCACTTTTTATTCTTCCATCAAGATCGGCTTCACAACCAGCGACAAGTTCTAGCACATATAGTCCAGGTAAATGTCTAATTATTGTGAAATAAAACATTGACAGAGCAATAATAACGTTTGTTAATGCAATAAGATATATGTTCCAAACAAAGACTAGTGAGTAGCATAAAAATGATAACTTGAACACAAGAAGTCAAAATTTTTAAAACAGCGGTTAGAAATAATAAAAATGAGTGTTAGATACGAGTGAATAAGTGGAAAAGGTGGGAACTGTGAAGGTTAATATATGGTGGATTGTTATTTATACAAATGAGTATTACATATAATTCTAATTCCCCCTACCTTCAATAGGTAAGATGGTCTGACTATTCATCAAACCTTAACTGTTTATTCAAATAATCACATCTAGCTCAAAGCATTTTCTACATAATTTTATGCATACATACAAAAAATTTCATCACTTTGCTGACTTCACTACTATATGTTACAGAGTACATATATTTTTCTCACCCTACTTTATATACAAATAACACTTGAAGGTCTTACCCAGAATCAACTTGACCGTAAAATGACATGACATTAATATGTTCAGATTTAAAATGATTTCGGTTGCCCTAGAAGTATTCTGCTTTGTTTCCTCTATACTATCTAAACTTGTGTTAATTTGTCTTGGTTATTTATTTATTTACTCTGAAGAAGTGACTTGCATGGAAGTCATGGATGGTCAGAAATATAAAGTTCTACTCAATGGGAAATCACCGAAAATTCTGTAAGAAACTGTATGACTTACTGTCATACTATGATTGCATATTAAGCTATGAAACTTTTAATTTCCACTGTAAAAATATTACATAATTAATCATGAAGAGTAAAAATCCTTGGAGGAAAAAATTATGGAACGTTCAAATCATGAATCAATTGTACTTGGACGGTTATGGTCCATTTTTAAAATTATGCTAAAGAAATAATCTAAACTTAGTTTATTATTTATTATAGAGAGGAGTAATACAAATTGGCTTAAATATGTGATTCAAGCAAGGCATCATTAGACTTTACACATGACAGAATTATTTCATAGCCTAATATAATCAACTTGTATCTAACTGGTGATTGATTAACTAATGAGTATTGAATTAAATATAAAACTTTAATCTGATCAATTATATACAGTTAACTGTTTATGTTTATTTTTTTTTTTAATAGTTATACTTAGCTCCTTTCGATTTAGTCAGTCTGGTAGTAACACTGAATTTCATATGTAAATAGTGCAGTTTAAAGTTAAGTACATACACATGTACTTGCATGTGTATTTACATCATCACGTGACAGTAACTAGAAGTAAAGTATATGAAACAAACACATCAAATTATCAGCTACCATTGGACTGTATCTGATTACGCTGTTTTATTTTGCCTTGTGAATTAGACCTGTAAGTCAAAGGCTTGAAGAACGGTATTTTAAGAAAACTACCTACTTCGGTTAAGACATTCAAACAACATCTTGATCCACACACCGATTCATTGATTTGTGTGAGGCATTATTATTTTGGTGTTCCTTGGTATAAATGTTTAAGTGTTATAATAACAATTTCAATAGTCGATAACTTTATAATTTGATGCTATGCATAACATCAGATAGCCTTTTATTTTCTTCCAACTTGCCTCTAAAGCAGATCGCAGCGTAAATCCGTTGGGTGAGTGAAGCATATTCTTAATGTTTAGTCTTTTTCAGTATTATTGCTGCTGCATTATTTAAATCTGTTTTGTTATTCATCCTAAAACTTTCATCTCACTATGTTAAAGTGATAATATGGCAACTTGGGTCAACTCATATTTGTGATAGGCTTTACGTTGGTGATGACTGACTGAGGAAAAACGACTGATTACTAAGCACCAATAATGAAAACTAACCAAAAAAAGAGACATTCCAAGTTTCTAATGATGGTCTAACAATTATATATTCATCATTTCAAGGTAAGACATTCTATAAATTACAATCGAAAATGTAATTATCCATGATGTAACCAATCAAATATAAACGGAAAGAAAGGTTATTCTATTGTTATTGTTATGAGTGCTACATGAAGTATTCAAATATGTGGAGAAGAAGCACAATCTAATTAAAACCAAATAAATATATAAATAACCAAACTAGTGTATATATGTTAACATAACTGAAAAACTTATGATGTGATGATTAAATTATGTAGTGAAATAAGTTAAGCAATTACATAACTGTATGGTTACAAATTAACTCAGAAATGTACATGATTTCTCTAGAAACTTTAACAATACATAGTTAAAAATCCGATTTATCAGTTACATAATAAAAAGCATCTACAGTTTAAATGCAAATCACCAATATTATATCAATAGTTTTTCCGGTGTTACATTTAAATGTGCATTTTCATAGGTGACAATGTTTTTAACAGTTTATTTATAATTTTTAGTGACGTTTACAACAAACATCTAACGGAGTACCTTCCTATATTATTGAGTGAATTAAACTGATGGTAGCGTACAAGAGTAAAAACCGAGTATCTGGCTAACAGAATATGCGAAAAAGCTTCATTGTTTAAACCTATATGACGTAATTAATAGCAGTGGGATTCAAGACGTAAGTTTCGCAGCCAGGCTGCATCCCTGTATTGATGTTATTCCGTTAAGACACGAACTCACTATTTATCGCTTAAAACGTCAATGCCCTTGCTAGATTCCACTGCCATCCACCATAGAAATTTACTAAAAATGAATGATTAAATTGTCAATCGAAACAATATTTTTGGATGAATACATAAAAACAGGGATCGATAAGAGGCTGTCAACTTGAGTTAAAGAGTATAAAAGATTATTACGACTCAAGTTATAAAATCTCTGTAACACAAAAGTATTGTATTGTTAAGCTTAAGAGTAATTTAAGTTTAAACATAAATAAGTAATTGCTATTATTTAGGTGTTCATTTTATGACTGTTAATCAGAAATGAAATTTAAAATTTCGTGGAAACGAAACTAACTTACACCAAATTTAGCTAATAGGAATACAATGAAAATATTGTTATTTAGATAGAAAATTTATGAAGATTTTGTTTTAATTTGAAGACACTATTAATCATCGATTTCGATCAATAGGAAAGTGAAGAACTGGTTTAAAATGAATTTTAAACTATGGATTTTGATGAGCTTATAATGAATTTTTATTCATAATTAAACGCTGATCACAAATGTGTAAACAAAGTGAATACATTTTATAGTTCGTTAACACATGAGCATATTAACAGTAATTCATCAATTTTAGCATAAACATGATAGTTAAATGTTTTGTAAAATCTAATTTCCACTAGAACATCATCAGAAAAAAATCCATGAAAACAAATGATCGATGAGAATTGTTTTCAACGTACGCTTTGAAGAAGATTGTTTTCATAACCTGAACAGCGATAGTTAGTAACAGTTGTTTGTTGTTATTACTTATTTTTGTTGATATGAAATTTGAAAAATACGATTTATGTTTAATTTTTTTCATATTGTTAATTGTGAAATGAAAATATTAAGGTTACTAAAAGATAAAAATTGGAATTTCTATTTGTACATTAAAATAGTAAAATATCTCAGTACAAAATGAATGGACGATTTCCTCTAATTCAACAATAAACTTTAAGCACACAAAATATCGTTGACTGGTTTGCGTAAAAATTCATTCAGTTTGAAAAAAAATTTGACTAAGCGGCAGCATAGGTTGAATATCCAGTGGAGACAATGAGATTCATGAAAATTTTTATTCAAGCCTCATATTCATCATCAGCGCGCTCTTTCGTGATTTAATATGAGAAAATGAAACCTAGGACGATCTAGTAGATCTAGTAGAGAGTATCAAACTGTGGAAAGTCAGAATCCAATGGAACATATTTCAACATTAATTGATTCTCAGTCTATTGTGATCATAGTTGCATTTCATAGTTAAAAGCAGTTGATGTAAAATATGTCGACCACACTTGCGCTAAATAAAAAAGAAACTGAAGTTTTTTATTGTCTTGGTTTTTATACTAGTGAAACAATATATGGTGTATGGAAATGACAACTGAACCGCGACTGACATACTGAATTCTTACAAAAAATCTTCGGCGAAATTTATGTAACATCAATAAGAAACGATTAAACAAACGATGAGGTACATAATTTAACAAATTAGAAATGATAAAGCATTTTCTTGCCTGGTTTTTTTTTCGTTTCTACAAATATTTACATGATAAGGAAAAATATCACACACACACACATACACACACTAATCAATAATTGGATATGTCCCATAGAATTTTGAATACTATAAACTTCAAGCAATATATTTTACCGTGTAACTAAACGATATTTTTTTTTGAAAAACTGTATCGAATACATATGTAAGTATACACATAATTAACATGAATCACTTACTTTTTCCCGACAAGTTTAATTCCAAGGACTTTACCTTGACGTTTGCATAATTTAACATAGAATATTTCTTTTTGATTGAAACACATTTGGTATAAATCGAACAAAGGAAAGCATAGAACATAAGGTTACATAATGTATATTTGTAGTTAACATAGTAAGGAGAACAAAGAAAGTGATTATATATATATACATATATGAGGTTAAATGGGAGATTGTGTGTGATTAAGTGTTTTGCTTTCTATGAACAAAAAACAACACGCCAATAATCACTAATATGAGAAATAAAGCAGAAATTTAAAATGAAACAACTGTACTAGTATTATTACTGTTGTTATTTTTATTAATATTTATATGGAGAGTACTTGAAATTTTTGAAAACCAGTTGTTGTAATTTTTGTTACATTTGAGTAGATAGACGGCATCTATGTAGATGATGAAAAGACACGTTAACTATGTGAATCATAAATATTCTTCTTAATTAGTAAGTTAGTTAGTGAATAAGGTTTTCTTTTCCGTTGGACTGGACTTTATTTTTTAATTGTAAGAAAATTTTCACCAAATGGTTTCAGACAATAACTAGGTAAGAATTAAGGATGCGTACACGTAGTTTATAAGTCGTATTCATTTTTATATTTACAGGCTTTGATAAAGAGCATTGTATAGGCCAGTAAAGAATTCAAAGAGAGTAATACTACGGATTGTTAATTTAGTCGATATTTCTTTATTTTTGCTGGTATAGAGACTAGAATTCATTATTGAAGTACTTTTAAAGTACTTTTATAAGGAATGGGGTCAGTAGTTGATCAAACTAGCAATATATGGCCTTATTAATTCTATCAGTCAGTTGCATTTCTGTAAATGGAAATATTAATTTTTTATCCAGCAAGATTGTTATATATTTAAGATAATTATTGGAGCTAATGTTGAAAATCTCACCATTAAACATTCTGGCCTACTTAAATCTCTGAAATGTTCGTATTTCTGTTGCTTATAGCCTCTAAAGAGAAAGGAAACAAAACCACATTGAAACTTATACATGTATATAACAATGCGAATCCTCTTTGATATTAGGGCGGCCAGATTAAAACATGGCACAAATCCACGAAGTCACTGACAAGTGGACTGGACAACGTTGGCAGGTGTAGACTACCCGGTTAGTGTCCGCGAGATGATAGTAACCGACGGTTAGAGATCTTGAACGGCATGGCTCAAAATCATTTACAATGGTGCAGGTGCATCCATTCTTTGTGTTTTCTTCTAATCTTCTGAATTCCTCATGACCTTTATATATCCCTAGGATATACTTCTCAACTGATATATTCGATCCCTAATCCTTTTTGTTGTTACTTATACTTCTACCTCTATCACTATGGGATTTGATTTGACAATTGCGTCACTCTGCTAATGTGGTATGGCGACGTAAACTGTTGTACGTACGTACGAAGTTCTACGTGGTAACTGACTGACTGACTCTACGACATTTTATCTAGGATAATATTATAAAATGAAAATAGTTGAAATTAGAGAACTGACAGAAAACTTTTGTGATTGAACGTGAATAGTACATATGATCACTGTTGTAAAAGCTTATTTGGGCATATTTTTTACAGCATTACAATTAAGATATGAATTCAGAAAGAAACTACTGCAATATTTCATATTTTATAACGAAAACTGCTCACTATCATTAAATATTTGATAATAAATAAAGCGATTACATTTACTGATTTTACACGAAACTGTTACAGAATGTAACTAATATCTTTTGGTCAAGTCCTTAGAACCTCAACCAAATGATATCGATCAAGTAGCAATATAGTCGTAGTTACCTAACATTGCAGTGCAATTTATTTAATATGAAGTGATTAGTGACAATCAGTAAGAAACCTTGAAAATATTAGTAAACATTTGCTAACCAAGGTGCATTTGAATTTCTATGGATCGTTGGTACTGTCCATTGGAGTAATAATAATAGAATGCAACTCGATAACACCGAGCACATTTTTATGTTAGGTATGCACTAAATCTACTATTTGCGAAGTAATGACAACCGTTGATTGGTTCAATCGATGGGATAGTATGCAAAGTTGTGATCAAAATGATGTTGTTGATGTCGATGTTGTCAATGAGCAAAAACCTCTGGCTGTAAAATAGCACACTGATAGAAAATATAATAAAAAAATGATGATAATAGTGATAACAATAAAAAAAATTCAGAAATAATCACCTTCCTGATATTGAAATTGTAAGTGATGTTGGGCGTTTAAAGAAACCGGTTCACGGAAAACAGTGAATTGAACTACTGATGACGGAGCTGTCAAAAAGCTCTGTGCATCAGCATGAGTAACATGTGTCAATAAGTTGCCGTTCACCTATTAAATAGAAGAATGAAAGAATAACAGTTTTGAAAAGAAAAAGGAAACACCAAAATCATTCTGCAGAGAAAATGTGCTATGATGGAACTAAATAAGATTGACAAACGCCGGAGCAATTAGTTGACTGAAGCAACCCCAAAGGCTAATCCGAGGGGAATCACCACCTAATCTTTGATCGTGTGGGTATTAGAAGACAGGGTGAGTATATTATTACTGATGAATCATTAAGTCGTTTTCCTGAAACA